GTTGAAAACTCACGTGCCACTGGGAAGAGAGGTGGGTCGTCGTATGCCGCATTAAAGCCGTGCTGTGCCGAATCCAGGGAAGTTCCGGGGTGCAAGGCGACCAAAGTCGTGTCTTATGTTAAGGCACGTATGCGCATATGGCCCCTTCCTCAGTTATTGGCCGTGGTAAGCTCACATTGACGGGTGGAGTTGTCGGGCGCAGTGCGTTGGCGCCTGGTTAGGCGGCGGTGGTCGTGTCTCAGCCGCGCCCAGTCTCTCTGCAGCTGATCATTCCCATGCGACAGTGTACGGTTATTCGGCGCAGTGCGTTGGCGACTGGTTAGGCGGCGGTGGCCGTGTCTCAGCCGCGCCCAGCCTCTCTGCGGCTGGTCATCCCATGCAGCAGTGTACGGTTATTCAGCGCAGCGCGTTGGCGCCTGGTTAGGCGGCGGTGGCCGTGTCTCAGCCGCGCCAGCCTCTCTGCAGCTGATCACTCCCATGCAGCAGCGTACGGTTATTCGGCGCAGTGCGTTGGGCCTGGTTAGGCGGCGGTGGCTGTGTTTCAGCCGGGCCCAGCCTCTCTGCAACTGATCACTCCCATGCAGCAGTGCACGGTCGCACGGGCGGCGATAACGGCTCGAATAAAATGGGCGCCAGAACACGCCCTTGCGCCAGTCTCATCCGCCGCAGCCTCCGGTCGCAAGTCGTCACCGTCGGCAGTCATGAAGCTGGTGCTCCTCCTCGTCGCCATGGCGGTGGCTGTTGCCGCGCAGGACCACAGCACGCACCAGCCGGACCCCGAGCGCAGGTGCTACTGCAGCATGGGCGTGCACAACATCTTCTTGCACGCCATCCTCTTTACATTCCATCCCATGTTCGATGCACAGTGCGACTCCGGCGCTGAGAAGCTCTGCGTTGAGGAGTGCTTGGAGCACAAGGACGTGCTGGAGGCCGCCGGCGGCTGGTCTGCGAAGCTGCCTGAGCACCATTACCCGGGTAACGTGAGAGTCGGTGACGTGGCCTGCCAGAACCTCGGCCGCGACGAGAGCCGCGGCATCCTGACACAGCTGTACCACGCGATCTGCGACCAGCCCACCAGGTGGACCGGGCCCGGCCTCACGGAGCCGCTCTGCTGCGACGACGGCAAGTTCGTCCGCTGCTTCTAGGAGCTGACGCTGTGCTCCTCCTCGGCGCCATGGCGGTGGCCGTTGCCGCGCAGGACCACAGCACGCGCCGCTTTGGCGATATTGGGTCCGCTCTGTACGCCGCTGTGTTCCAGTTCATCAGCGGGGCCGCGCTGACGGTCAGAGGTTGTTGAGTCGTATGAGGGCGGAGAAAATACACGCGCAAGTTGACTCCGGGGGTTTTCATGTGACGTGAAACGTCGGCGGCTGCATGGTTGGGGTGCTTGAAGTGGTGCTCACGTTTCGACCTGCCTGATAACAATGATTATCAATAGAAGTACTAGTTGGATTTAGCGCCCAAGCTGATTATTTAGCGCCTGGTTATGCAACAGCGCGCGTATAGTCTCAGCCACATGCTGGTCGCACGTTTGTGCTGGGCTCTTTCACTCGGAGGTGCTGTGTTACATATTTTTGAAGAACCGCACGATTTCTTCATATTTCTTCACTTTATTTGATCGGCCGCCTTCGTCCCGATGGCGATCTCTCGAAGCTCAGCGTGTGTCATCGTCCCAGACACTTCAAGGGTAGGCTCTCTTTAAACCGCAATCACACACAGATTGCTGGTCGCGGACGTTGCAGGCATTTCCTGCCGCGCATGCCAGTGTCTTCTGCACCGCCTGGCGCCGACGCCGGCTCCACTCTGTGGTGGGGGGGGGGGGGGGGGGGCGTCGGGGGTGTTGCCGGATTGTTTGTGGAAAAGAATAGCAGCCCTAATAGGCCTCTGTAATAATGTTGATAACACATTCTATTAGCAGCTTAAGTCTCACAATACGCTATTGTGTGGATATTTGTAGATCGCTGGCTCCTCTGCATACTGAGTTCTCGCATGAAAGTTCCACTTGGTTGCGCCATCACTGCAGCCGAAAACCGAGCGCAAATCCCTTCTAAATAACTCCGCGGCGCATTCCGACGGTCCGCCGTATCCAATGCCAACCATTACCGAGGCGGTCGTGACTCTCTGATCTTGATTCGGCGCGGTCGCCGAACTCTCCCTCTGCTCGGACTGATGGAGACCAAAGCCTGCGGTCGGCCGGCCCTCAGTTCGAAAGATTAGCTTGATGGAGCGATGGGACGCAGAGCGTAGCCCGGGGTGCGCCGCCCAGCTGCGCCAGCGGAGCTCAGCGAGGTGACAGGTGGAGAGTGGAGCCTGCAGTGACTGGGCCGGAGCGCGGGGAGCCTGCCTTGGTGCCCGCGGCTGGCGAGGCTTTCGCGTGTGTTCGACGACCGCTGGAGAGGTGTGCGGCGGCGCCCGCCGGCCGCTGGAGCGGTATGGGGCGGCGCCGCCGGCCGCTGGAGCGGTGTGCTGGCGGCGCCCGCCGGCCGCTGGAGCGGTGTGCGGCGGCGGCCCCGCCCGCCGGCCGCTGGAGCGGTGTGCGGCCGGCGCCCGCCGGCCGCTGGCCGCTGGCGCGGCGTCTGCAGCGGCCGGCCGGCCCCGCTCCCCACCGGGCCGGCGTACGGCGGCGTGACCTTGCGGCCGGCGCGTGACCCCGCGGCCCGCTCGGCCGGCAGGGGCGCGGCAGGTGGCGCCGCGGCGGACAGGGGACGGGTGCAGGGCTGCCGCGAGACGGCCCGCGGACTGAGCGGCGCCGAGGCGTGTGCGCGGTCGGGCACCGCGACGCCTGCGGTAGCCGCTGCTGCAGAGCGCTGTCCGAAGCCACACCCGGGTACCTTGCTGTTCCAGTGTTGTCACTGGCAATACTCCGAGCACCGGGCCTCTACAGTATTCCCACGCTGCATGATGGTCGCAAAAGAGTGCGCAAGTTCGTAATGCTGGTGAAGTCCAAAACGATTAGTTTTTGTATTGTGGCGCGACTTGCTCTTCTAGTGCAGCGACAGCAAATGATGGCGGTTGGCCCCGAACCGGGCCGCCCCACTAGCAGCCCTCCTCATGCCTTCGCATGCACGGAGGCCAGCTGGCAATTGAGATAATAACGAGGCTGATCTGCCCGCGCAGGTCCTCTGTAATGAGTGTTCCTGTTCGTCTCGCCTGTGTGAGGGGCATGTTTGCTACGAACCCAGGCGCATGGCGTGCCGGGCGCCAAGACTTGAAGGGCGGGTCTGGTGGCACGGGTCTGGTCCGGTGGCACGGGCTGGTCCGATGGCACGGGCTGGTCCGATGGCACGGGTGGTCCGGTTGGCACGGGCTGGTCCGGTGACACTGCCTTGGCACTTGAGCACGGGACATCATTATCGTCTTCACTCATCGCCTGCGCTATGACGAATCGTGCATGTTTTGGGATGGGTTGTATGATGCATACTATTCGCATATGCAAGAGGTATACTGCCGCGGTTTGCGTCAGTACCCGGACTGACGGGACTGTTATGTATGGGCACATATGTAGCAGGTGCGGCTGGTAGCGCCGCAGTATCGCACGCCACTGATGGCGGAGCAAACCGCAACTCAACTGGTCGTGCACCTCAAGACCGGTGACGTATTGGTTCGGAGCTGGCAGGCCGTCAGTCGGCTGTCGGCTCGGTTGGTGGCGGCACCTGTGCTGGCTGCACGGCGGCTTTATGGATGTCGGCATTGCATGCGAGTCTCGACCGTTGCCCTGACAAAGCCGCCAGCCACGCCTGTGAGCAGGCCAAGTGTCGGTCTTCTGCTGTTGTCTTGCGATTGGGGCACGTTTTACGAGGACGTCGGCGTCGCGCCCGGTGGTGCGATCCGTCGCTGGCACTCCTTGTCTTTGATGGAGAAGGCAGCGGGATAATTGATACTGTGGATACATGCGTGTTAAAGTTGAATGGAATGATAATGGCCAATCAATATGCAGGTGCTGCAACGGGTACATCCTGTTTTCTTACTGGTTTTCTGTAACCATCGCGGCCGAAATAACCATATGAAAACATCGTAGCTTGAGCTGAGGCTTCATCGCTAAACATGGAGGTAATAACGCCAGTACCATTAGCCGTTGCACCGATTTCCGTCTTGAAAGAATCCAATCATTACCGTCCAAAGGGCCGTGCTTCCTGGCGTCGAAGCTGTTGGACAGCTATCCGCCCGGGCGGTGGCCGGCCTGGACTGGGGAGAAGAGAGCGTAGCGGGTCGGTGCGGGAATGCGTGGTGCGGCGAGAGAGGGCAGACAGTCGCTTCGGCGGGCGGTGCGGCTTCATGCAGGGATACTGAAGTGTGCTTCTCAGGAGCCTGGTCGCCCTCCAGCTGCCTCATAACACGATAGGTATGGGCACTGCATGGACCATTTGCAGCCGATGTGCCCAAAACCCCGAATCATTATCACGGGTGATGACACCTCGTGTGGTGGTTGATTATTCACGGACAATTTCCTGCGTGTTATAGACTGCTTCAGTATTTGGCCGGCCGCTGTCTTAGATTGCCTACGGCTCTGTGGCCGTCTTTTGGCATCTGCTCGTTGGCTGTACACATTGAACAGCTGCTTGCCACGCAGCCGTTTGGCTGTGCCGTCGTCGTAAGCCGCGGCGTCGAGACGCCGTCGGTTTGGTGGCTGATGATGAGTCTCCGGTGGCGCATTTCATCGCCAAAATGTTTCGTTGTGCTCTGTGCTCGAAGGCCCACTGTCCAGATTGGCTACTCCTGTGTGCCTCTACCGATGACGTCCTCCGCACGGCAGGGACAAGGACGGGACAGCGGGACGCCCGCCCCTGTCTCCCCTCCCCTCCCCGACGTTCCCGAAGTGTTTAAGGTTATCCTCGTGACGCCTAGTACACCCGCTGGCGTGGAAACAAGCCCGCTGTCTGTGTGACGACCGTCAGTCATTGATCAAGGGTTGTGACGATTTTTGAAGCCAGCGTCAGTGAATGTTGACGACGTTGCGAATCGCACCCAAACCCTGTGACGCTTCGGCGGCTGTCTGACTGATGCGGTCTGACGCGGTCCCCGTTTTGTTGCAGTACGCTGTGTGGGCTTTCATCTGGCTCTGCTGGAACATATTCGTGATATGCTTCTACCTCGAGGTCGGCCGTCTACGGCGGGTGAGTAATACCGAGTGGAACGCACCGGCGGCGGCCTGCTGCCACCGGCCACGGTCCGCTGCCACCGGCCACCGTCCGCTGCCACCGGCCAGGGTCCGCTTCCACCGGCCAGGGTCCGCTTCCACCGGCCACCGTCCGCTGCCACCAGCCACGGTCCGCTGCCACCGGCTGCGGCCCGCTGCCACCGACCACGGCCAACCAGCGGAGGCCGCGACAGTGTGCGGCCGGGCATTCCTCGTTCGGTCGGATCTGGCCAAGGCTGGCCGATACCAACTGCGCCCGGCCGCTGCCGAACACGAACGGAAACGGCCGGTGGCGACCGGATGTCCCCGGAGGAGGCTGATTACTGTAGACTGCGACCGGGTGTCGCCGGAGGAGGCTGATTACTGTAGACTGCGACCGGGTGTCGCCGGAGGAGGCTGATTACTGTAGACTGCGACCGGGTGTCACCGGAGGAGGCTGATTACTGTAGTGCGACCGGGTGTCACCGGAGGAGGCTGATTACTGTAGGCTGCGACCGGGTGTCACCGGAGGAGGCTGATTACTGTAGGCTGCGACCGGGTGTCACCGGAGGAGGCTGATTACTGTAGGCTGTGACCGGGTGTCACCGGAGGAGGCTGTTACTGTAGGCTGCGACGGGTGTCACGGAGGAGGCTGGATTACTGTAGCTGTGACGGGTGTCACCGGAGGAGGCTGTTACTGTGGCTGTGACGGGTGTCACCGGAGGAGGCTGTTACTGTAGACTGCGACGGGTGTCACCGGAGGAGGCTGGTTACTGTAGGCTGTGACGGGTGTCACGGAGGAGACTGGTTACTGTAGGCTGTGACTGGGTGTCACGGAGGAGGCTGGTACTGTGGGCTGTGACTGGGTGTCACCGGAGGAGGCTGGTTACTGTAGGCTGTGACTGGGTGTCACCGGAGGAGGCTGGTTTACTGGTAGGGCTGTGACTGGGTGTCACCGGAGGAGGGCTGGTTACTGTAGGCTGTAACTGGGTGTCCACCGGAGGAGGCTGGATTACGGTAGGCTGTGTACCTGGGTGTCATCAGGAGGAGGCCTGGTTTAGCTGTGACTGGGGTCATGGAGGAGGCTGATTACTGTAGCTGTGACTGGGTGTCCACCGGAGGAGGCTGGATTACTGTAGGCTCCTAACCGGGTGTCACCGGAGGAGTGCTGATTAACTGTAGGCTGTGACTGGCCGACATCGACTTCGATCGACCGTGGCAAAATGAGACAGGCAACACAGCCAGCCACGGAAAGAAAGGCTGGAGGAGAACGGTGGCCACCGAGTATCATCAGTCACGACGAACTGCGGCAGGTCGCTATCCCTTCTACGGACACTTGTTCTGATGCGCTGAAAACAGTACCGAGCACGGCGACGAAGTCGAAACTTGCCATTGGTCGTCACCACAGCTGAGCGCACCTCCGACCAGCGGACGGAGCTGGGCCCAATACAGAGTTATTGCGCAGTCACGGCGGCAGACGGCGCGCGCTCAGTGAGCGGCGCGGCCAGTGCCGGTGAGCTGTTTGCGGGGCGTCTTCCCACACTTCAGTCCGGTTTGTCTAGTCAGCGTTGTGTTCAGAGTCAGTCACAGAGTCTGCGCATCTGGCTGGTGGTTCGGACGGCCGTGGCCTGCCGCCGAGTCGCTGTGCTTTCACCGCCGCAGTCGGCGTCGTACCACCGCCCACCGCCCACGTGACGCAGTGCGCGAGGCGCAGAGTAAGGCCCGCTCTGACGAGCAGGGCGGGCGGCGCTGCTCGAGCGGGGGCGCCCGGTCCCCCGGGGCGTCTGACCACTGGCAAATGACGTAGAGAATGCGTCGGAAAATGACACCGACATCGTCAATCATCATCACAGCCAGGTGCGAGCAGTCGCCATTTAAATAAATGCCTTAGTAAATATGGTTACGCTGTCGCGATGGCGATGACCAAGTGCAAACTCACAGAGCCCGCCCACGTGACGCCGCGCGCGAGGCGCAGAGTAAGGCCCGCTCTGACGAGCAGGGCGGGCGGCGCTGCTCGAGCGGGGGCGCCCGGTGCCCCGGGTCTGCCCATGATCTGTCGGCGATGGCGGCGGCGCCGGCGTCTTGGCGGCTGGCCAGCCAGGGGCTGACTGAACGCGCCGGAATTAGCACATTGTAGCCGGAAGGAAGACGCTGAGATGCGCACAGAGAGCGAGTCGCGCTTTCGTGTGACGAAAACGTTTGTGAATGAAACTTACTGCGATTTTTTCAAGACCCTGCCCTGCTATCCGTAGACAGAAGTATTGTTCTTTGTCCGTATGACTTCACAGCCATCTCCAGCGAAACGTTCCCACGGCCCCAGGGACGAGTGGCTCTTGTTTGTGAGCCATTGTTTGGAGGGCAGGGGCGGCGTATGTCGTCCCGCGCCGCGCTGCCGGACTTCTCGTGTCGCGCCGCGTCTCGCTCTCGGCGGTGCCGTCCCTCTCACCGGCTGTTTTTCCTCCTGCGCTCCTCGCGCAACGGCGAGCCGTTCAGCCGCGTGACGCGATGTTTCTCGTCCGCCTCATCGGCTGTCGGGTCTCTCCGGCGCCGCCCCTCCCCCTCCCCCCGTGTCTAACCCGGACACCGCGCCTCTGATCTTGACCCCCTTGCATCTGACCCGAGCACCGCGCCTCCAACACGGATCCCCATGTCTGACCCGGACCCCCGTGTCTGACCCGGACCCCCTCGCTGCCGGCAGAGTGACGAGGTGCTGAGCCTGTACACGGGCTCTGTCTCGTTCTGGGAAGCGTCCGGCCCCGGCTGCGTGCCCGTCTACTCGACCAACGGCAGCGCGCCAGCCGACCCGTACCGAGAGCCGCGGCCCGACCGGGTTGACGGCTGCTGGCTCGACTACGAGCACGTGGAGGCGCTGCACGCCGCCCTGCAGATTCTGCTGGCGGTGAGGCGCGCGGCAGCGGCGCTGTAGGATGGCCGGGGAGCGACGCACATCACATGCTCGCGCTGACACTAACAACGTCATCGTATGCGTGCGGCGGCACAAACAACGTTATCGTCGTATGCCCGTGATGGGGTGTACGTCGTGATTGTTGCCCACTGACTTGGGAGTGACGTTGAACCGCATATCCTCGTCTGCTCCCTGTGAGCAGATCGCCCTCGCCATTATCTGATCACGATGAGGTGCAGATTATCGCCATCATTATCACATGCTCATTGTGAACCGCATAATTATCAACATGTAGATTTGTGTTTTCCATCAGTTATTACGGTGGCGATAAGCCTAGTGATAATGATGGTGCCAAACCCCATTTTTTCGATACCTTCCTTGTCATCGGTCGATTGCTTTGAGTCTTCAGAGTGTGGCTCATACATTGCCTGCTCCTTTCCTGCTGCTGCTGACATGGATTGTCCGGTGCCGCGTGTTTTGTGAGCTTAGGACATGGCAGCTGACTGTCCACCGGCTCGGTGCCTTGCGCGGCGTCCGGCATCAGCCGCCAGCCGCGCGCGCCTCTTCTTGAGCGGGCGTCGCCCCCTGTTTCAGGCCATAGGGGTGGTGCTGGCCGGCTGCCTGATCGCGGCGCGCAGGCGGGAGGATGACAGCTGTGAGTACCCGGGCCGGCGGGGTGGTGGTGGCCCAGCCAGCGCCGCAGTTATACGCCAGACCCGCGGACTCTGAGTTCCGGCCCGGGCTCATGCAGCCTCGCTCACCAGCAGTCACCAGTGGCACTTCCAGCCAGCGCTTTGGATGGGATGAACGCTATCCATCAAAGACCGGTGTAATGTTGGAGTAACTACAGGAACTTAGACCCAGTGCACTGCCGCTGATGCCATGGCATTTGGCAACTTTGGAATGTGATTTTTTGGAGAAGGGTGGCGGCACAGTGGCCGGGTTTGCGTGAGGAGGGCAGCCGCGGCGTTCCAGGCTGTCAGTCTGCGGCCAGTTGTCGTTCCTACAGCTCGCGATGTCCCTCCCCGTACTGGCCCCTCTCCCTACTGGCCGCTTCGTCCGCGATCAGCTGACCCCCTTACAGTCGACTTTATCGGCGGCCTGGACATGGGCGGCACGTACAAGCCCGTGTTGACCTCGCCGGCCCGGCTGCCACTGCTCGCGCCGGCCGACGGGCCGCCGCCGCCACCTTACGGCGCACCGCGGCACTAGCAGTGCTGCCGACCGCGCACAGATGACGCCACGCTCGCGCGGTGCGGTGAGGGCATGCGAGCCGCCTGAGTGTCTGTGTGCGCGTGCGCGCAGGCGGCCTGGTGAGCAGCGCGTCCCACTGTGACGTCAGCAGTAGACGTCAGCCTCGCGGAGACCCGCCATCACCTTAACTGACTTGACGCGACCTGACGTGACCTGAACTGAGGTGAACTAACCTGACCTGACGAGGCCCGGCCCGCCGTCGCCGCCGACGCCACGCTCGGCAGTCGTGTCGTGGTCCGTCCGCTTCCGCCGCCGGCAGCTCCACGGCAGGGCTGGGAGCGAGGCCCACACCCCCGCTCACAGCCTGCGTGCAGGCGGCGCACCGGCCGCCCCTCAGCCTGGCGCCGGCCGACGGCGCTGTTTTGGCCGGCGCGCTAACCCGCTTGTCGGTCCGTCTGACGTGTTTTTACTAACGCTGACAGCTGCGCGGCCGGTGTTGGCACGCTGCGCACAGGCCGGACAGCGTCCTCTGAGGTCCGCGGGCTCGCCGCCGGCCGACTGCATGAGGCTTCGGTCCGCTCTCTGTTGGCCACGGCCCCGGCGTTTAGCAGGCAGGCGTGCTGTGTTCATGTGCGAGTTGTGTGTGCTTGGTGCCGCTGTAGCCGGCCGCTGTCGTTGCTGGGTTGTAACCCTGCCGTGGGAGGGCTGTAACCCTGTCGTGGAAGGGTTGTAACCCTGTCGTGGAAGGTTGTAACCCTGCCGTGGAAGGGTTGTAACCCTGTCGTGGGAGGGGTGTAACCTTGCCGTGGGAGGGGCGTGACCTTGCTGTGGAAGGGTTGTAACCCTGTCGTGGGAGGGGTGTAACCTTGTCGTGGGAGAGACGTAACCTTGCCGTGGGAGGGTTGTAACCCTGCCGTGGGAGGGGTGTAACCTTGCCGTGGGAGGGGCGTAACCTTGCTGTGGAAGGGTTGTAACCCTGTCGTGGGAGGGGTGTAACCTTGCCGTGGGAGAGACGTAACCTTGCCGTGGGAGGGTTGTAACCCTGCCGTGGAAGGGTTGTAACCCTGTCGTGGGAGGGGGTGTAACCTTGCCGTGGGAGGGGTGTAACCCTGCCGTGGGAGGGGTGTCCACAGTGCATGCGTGTGATGGAGCCGTCGCTCGACGCGCTGCTGCGATGGAGCGCAATGCACAGTGGGGTAATCAGCTTGCTGCCGGCTGCTGGCGTTCCTCGTGGCAACGACCTTTTATCGGTAGACCATCGCCCGCCGTCGACCACTTTTTGCCAATGGATCGTCCGACGAGTGTGGTTGGGGAGGGAGCGGTGCCAGCAGTTACCACGGCGGCACCTAGGCCGCGGTCCGGCGGCGAGAGCTGTGCTCCCAGCCAAGACTTCCCGAGGCAAACCCGATCGCATCACATACCGCTACCCGCCAGCTCCTTTCATCCGTTGCCTGACGGGTGGTATGGTCTCAAGTGCTGCTGTTTACTGCCCCGGCTACCGGGCTGGCGTCCCCGAAGTATCAGAGCCCCTCCCCCCTCTCCCCCACCCCTGCCCCATATCATGAGGTGGTCCACCAGGCGCCAGGTTCTCTCGTGGGTCCAGGGTCTCCGTCCCGGCGACAGACCGCTGTGAGCCTGCGCCAGGCGCCTCGTCTTCCCAGTCGCCACACCCGGCTGACTGCCTTTTGCCCGCCCTCCTCTGGGCGACGCATCACCTGTCCAGTACTGACGTCTGACTGAGGCCTCGCCTCTGCACTGCTCACATGTCCGCGACTGCCCCGTCTCCACCATGGCCGGTGTCCTGTCGTCGGCCCGTCTCGCCGGCACTGACGCGCGCGTCCGGTCCGCCCCCAGCCGGCGTGAAACCGCGCTCACTGTCGCCGGCGTACCACATCGAGTACCGGCCGCACCGCGTGGAGGAGCGGGCCGGCTCGCCGGAGCCGGCCGAGCCGCCTGCGCTGGCCGTCGGATGGTGCCGTCGGACCGGCGCCCATGACGCCGCGCAAGATCAAGCGGCGCGCCATGACACGCACCTCGCAGCGGTCCTCAGGTGAGCGTCAGGACCTCACCGTCAGGTCAGGACCTTACCCTCAGGTCAGGGGCTCACACTCACGTCAAGGCCTCGCCCTCAAGCCAGGACCTCACCGTGAGGTCAGGGGCTCGCCCTCAGGTCACAGCCTCACCGTCAGGTCAGGGGCTCGTCCTCGGGTCAGGGCCTCGTCCTCAGGTCAAGACCCCACCGTCAGGTCATGGGCTCGCCCTCAGGTCACGGTCTCACCGTCAGGTCAGGGGCTCGTCCTCGGGTCAGGGCCTCGTCCTCAGGTCAAGACCCCACCGTCAGGTCATGGGCTCGCCCTCAGGTCAGGGCCCCATTGTCAGGTCGGGGCCTCGCCCTCAGCTCAGGACCTCACCGTCAGGCCAGGACCTTACCCTCAGGTCAGGGGCTCGCCCTCAGGTCAGGACCTTGCCCCCAGGTCAGGACTGTACCCTTGGGTCAGGACCTTACCCTTGGGTCAGGGGCTCGCCTTCAGGTCAGGACTTTGCCCTCAGGTTAGGACCTTACCCTCAGGTCAGGATTTTACCATCAGGTCAGAGGCTCGCCCTCAGGTCAGGACCTTAACCTCAAGTCAGGATCTTACCCTCAGGTCAGGATCTTATCTTCAGGTCAGAGGCTCGCCCTCAGGTCAGGGGCTCGCCCTGATCAGGCCAGGACCCCACCCTCAGGTCAAGGACTCGCCCCGCCTTGTATAAGGGGGTCGCCTCACACCGAAGTCAGGGGCCCACGCTAGAGTCGCAGTCGTTAAGGGAGGTATTGAGGTAACCGAAGACGCACAGATAGGTATTATCGGCAACTGATAAACACTGTGGTGGGCGGTGGAGCTCAGAGTCGTCATCAGGTTTGGGCAGGGGTGGTCAGAGAATAGCGGACCCAGGTGGGACTACATCGTGAGCATGTGGTGTGGACCGCCCACGTGTGTGGTTGGCGTCCATCACTACTTGATTCTGCGGAGGGGGGAGGGAAGGCGCCCAGTGGTCAGGTACTCTGTGCACCATACCACCGAGTGTCCTGTCATCATGATCATCATCGACAGCACCACAGGGGATTTAGGTCGTAGCTATCGTCAGGTCACAGTGCTGTAGCGTGGGGGAGCGTGGTGACGCTCGATGGGCGCTCCCGGGGCTTTCTAAGGCGGAGTGAAATCGTGCGCGTGGTAGTTGAATGGAAACCGAGCTTAGCCGGAATGGACTGGTGACCGATGATAACGGCGCTTCGAATTTCACATGACGGTGTATGTGCCAACGGAGACATTCATGATACTTCACGGGGGGTGCCGGTGGCGTAGTGGTGAATACGTCTGCGTTAACCACTGCGTGTCTGTGAAACCAGAGGTACGGGATTCGATTCCCCGTGATGCCGGCCCTTCCTGCCAGGGTGAGAGGCAGGCGACGCCATATACCCTCAACCACTAAGTGCGTCGTAAAGCCCCAATGACACACACAGTTGGCACTTGCTGCCTTTAGCTCGAAGCATCGGCTGGCTCTCTTTATAATCATCAAGGTCCAGAATATCACATACATGAGCATGATCACAGTGATCGCTGAGAGTTCACACCGTTCACACGTTCACGTTATTATAGGACCTCGGTTTACGCGTTCGCACGCTCACGTCAGTATAGGGCCTTGGTTCACGCGTTCACGCACTCCCGTTAGTATGGGGCCTTGGTTCACGCGTTTACACGCTGGCTATTATATGACCTTGGTTCACGCTTTTACCCGCTGTTATTATACGGCCTTGTTAAATGCGCTCACGTTGGTATAGGACTTTGGTTCACGCGTTCACGCGATCACGTTATTATGGGGCATCGGCCACGCGCTCAAACAAACACCATGTTTTAGACCATGGGTTCGTCATTCACGCGCTGAATGATTGCAGGGCATTGGTTCAGCCGTTCAAGCGAATACTTCATTTTAGGGTATTGGTTCGCGCGTTCACGCGCTCCAGAATTAAAGGGCCGCGGTTCACGCCCACAACGCGCACGCACGCACGCACGCACGCACGCACGCACGCACGCACGCACGCACGCACGCAATGACACTCGGCCTTCGCTGCGCTGGCCGAGCGGTGTCGGCATGTGTCCGAGGGGAGGGGCCGGGTCGGCGCCGGCTGGGTCGGCTCTCACCACCTCTCAGCTCCGGTAGTGACTCGACAGTACTCCGGCCAGCGGGCGCATCAGCTTGTAACCGCCCGCTCACGTGCGTCGGTCCCATGCGCGGCGCTGATAGCCGGATTCCCAAGGAAACCCACTCATGCAGATAGCTGTTGCCTGGTCTGTTACAGGCTAGGGATGATGGCCCGCACAAGGTCAGAAGCGCGCTGCACTGAGAGGCTTACTAGGTTGATCAGCTAGGCGTCATATGAATTACGTGTTGCGTTGTGTTCTGGGCCTTGTCGATATTCTTGCAGAGCATATACATATCGTTGCACCGGCGATAGTCGACTTCCATCGCGTTAATGCACCTCACAGCGGCATAAGAGTGAGCAGTCATGGCGAAGCGAATCTCCTGCTCGCCGGGGTAAACAAGTATTTATCATTACCTGTATGGGCTTTCGTATGGTTAACATCCCCCAGGAAGCGTTTTTGGCCTCCAACGTTTTCAGTGTTGGTCGTCGCGTGCCTGTCTCTCCAGAGCGTGACTGACACGTGCGTCTGTGCCGTGGGGAACGGAATAATACTAACTACAGCTCCCCTGCTTTCAGTTGGGTCGTGCTTTAAGCACATAGGGTAGGAATGGTTACCATTAGCAAGATGTCGGTTGTTCAAGGCTTTGATGACGCTTACGCCGCGCAGTTTAAGAGAGTTAGTGGCCGCAGTGTATAAGAAGTTCGTTTTATTGTTCATGTAATAAGCTAGCTAGCCGTTCTTAGCTATCGATTCTTTTAGCTGTTAACCCCGTTGGCTGACTGATCTTAGCTGTGGACGCTGACACCTGTCACGCTCGTCATCTGACGGTATTTCTGACAGTTCCGCTTCCCCAGCCCTCTCCCTTCCGTCCCCGCCCCGCAGCACACGGCGGGGGAGGAGACACTGACACTGATCGCCCAATACTGACTCCCTGCCCCACCCTGCAGGCCGCAGCTCGCGCAGCAACCGGTCGCGCTCGAGCCAGCGGACCCGGCGCCACCCGAACCCGGTGACGCAGCTGCTGGACTCGTCGTCGAGCGAGCTGGCGCCCGACCGCGGCCACACGAACCCCGGCTTCCTAGCGTCGGAGCGGCCGGCCGGGCCGCCGCGGCCGCCGTCCGTCCACTCGAGCTACTCCAACTACCACGGCCAGCGGCGGCCGGCGCCGGCCGTGGCCTCCGACTACGGCACGACGGGCACGCTGAGCGCCGCCGGCGACCGGCGGCCCGGCGGCCAGGCGCCGCCGCTGCCACGCTACGGCGAACACGCCGACTACGGCGGCTACGGCCGCGCCGGGCCGCCGCCCTACGAGGCCGTGCCCAGTCTGACTGAGACGTCCATGTGAGGGCGCCGCCGAGCGCCGAAGCTGGCTGGAGCCCACGCGCGGGCATCCACGTACGGCCGGAGGTGACCTCGCGCCCAGACGGCGACGCGATGCGGCGCGAGGCCGGCAAAGCGTGTGGCACCTGCTGCGGCGGGAGGGGCGGACGCGAGAACGTCACCTGCGGACGGCGCCTGCGGACGGCGCCGCGCAGAGGTGTGCCACTGATGTCGCGCGCCGCCCCAGTGATGTCAGGGCGGGCGTCAGCCGCGTCTGCCAGCGGCGGCGCGGTGTGAGGCCGCCGCCTGTGTGAGCTGCCGTGGCTGTGTGTGGTGCGGCCAACAGCAGAGATATCCGCCGTCCCCGGCAGATGGAGCTCCTCCGACAATGACGAGTGTTTACCTGGTCGGTTTCTACCTGCTGGGCCTCCTCAGTACTTGCCCTGTTGCCATGGTCACGGGATCAGCGGGGGTATGTGTCTTGTTAGCCATGCCCGTCTGGAAGCAGCTTTCTCCAAGACCCATGGTGAACGCGCGTTATCGCCTCGTGCTGTGCCCCTGTGTTCCGTTGTAGTCTTCCTAGCAGCATTGATCACCTCTCGTGCAGTGCTCGCCGCGCCTGCCAGAAAGAGCGCGGCCTCGGCGCGCTTTCCATCGCGCCGGCTTCGATCATCCCCAAAGATGGCGGCGGCCACAATCGGTCCCGGGGCGGCCATGTGGCGCCGCCGCCGCTCGTTCACTGCCGACCTGCCCGCCGCTGGCCGGCCTGCGCCAGCCGGGCCGCTCAAGTGCCGATGACAATCAGGAACGCTAAGACACGGCCGCCTGTTGGCCGGCGCGCCACCCCAGTGCCTTCTGATGATGATGATCTCCCTCCCCGCACCGTCCGCCGCCCGTCCGTCCACGCGCCGCTTGAGGGTGCGCCTGCGGGAGGAGCCGGCCGAGCTGTGTACACAGGCACGGCCTGCGAGCTGCCCGCGAGTCCGAGTTCAGAGACGCGCGGTAGCGACTGAACGGCGTATGGACTGGATTAACTGTGGCAGCTTTGCGTGCGTGGTCTTCTCACGTTTTGACGTGCTTTTTTAGCGGTAGGCTCGTAACGAAATGTGTTCTGTCGTCCTTCAGATGTTGAACTTTGCAAGCGGACGTAGCTGTAAGCATATTTTGTAATCATGTATTGCTCGCTCGGACTGTTTTGTAGTGATGCTCCATATGAATCACATCTACATCCTGTATATTTAATCACAGGGGCTCAATACACCCGAACCGTGAGTGCATTCTACACCGGTTTGGTCACCGAGCTGCAAGGACGAAACGACGGAGGAGTCCACCGCAGTTTGACGCTTTTGGAGAGCCCCCACCCCGCGTGTCAGTCGCCGACAAAGGTGGCGCTTTTTGAGACCCCCCACCCCGTGTGTCAGTCGCCGACAAGGGTGACGCTTTTTGAGACCCTCCACGCCGTGTGTCAGTCGCCGGCAAGCGTGGCGCTTTTTGAGACCCCCACGCCATGTGTCAGTCACCAACAAGCATGGCGGCGTGGATGTTCAGTGACGGCCACGGGGCCTGCGGACATCCCCTTGCCTGCATCTGATCGGAGGCGGACGACATGGAGGCTTGGCGAGCCATGCCTGAAAACGCAGTCGAGCTGCGTATAGAGGGGAATGAGTCGGACGTCCAGCCATAACATGGCCGCTCCGATGTTATGAATGGGCAAATGCGTTCTGGGAACACGATAAACCGATATAGAAAACTACTCTATTAGGTTGACAATGTGAACACTCATCGGTTAGATGTTCTAACGCCCCCCCCCCCCCCCCCCCCCCGTTTATCCACGACTTCTGGAGCAGGGCTGCGCTGAGGGGTTTGCAGCAAATCTTCAGCAGAGGTCTAGTCTAGACTCCAGCTTTGCTGGGCTCCTCTGACCAGTCAGCCAGTGACGCCGGAGGTGGTCACGTGGCCCCCTGCCGCAAACCAACCGCCGCCACTGAGGGGCGTTGCCAGCTCGTACTGAACCAATATAGATGGCAGTATCAATGCAAATAGATTCATTGTAGCAGCTGCGTCAAATCTAAATTGCCTTGCTGAGACTGACTCGTTAGGTAGCCTTGGACTGACTAGGGGCCGTGGGCTGGCTGAGGTTAGTACGGAAGACTTCACTAGAACGTCGATGTGGAATTTCGTTTCGTTTGGCTAAACCATTGGTAAACCTCACCTACTTCATTTTCGGTTAGTGCTATATACCTACCTGATAAAAAGGAAGGCAACATTGTGTACAGTGTCCTGCCGCGTGCGTACACTACCACTGGGAAATTCCTAAAGACAAATATAAAATCAAATCAAAGGTGAGCGAGGGGGAAGAGCAGCCAAGGGCAGTTATTTTGCAGGTGACCTGTTTTTTGAAAGGTGTGCAAATGGTTGTCATTGATGCTGTATTAATATAGCCAGGTTTTGAATGGATTTGAGTGTTTTTATTTATAGTAAGCATGCTAACATGCCAGTCTGCAAAACATGGTGGTAATTGATGAGACAGGTGGATGTTTTATGAGCTTCAATGTATCATGTTTGGGTGACACCACTATTTTGATTGGGTATCACTGACTCACTTGACAGTTCCATTGCCAGGGTTACTAGGTGGGGAGGACATCCACCACTTTTGGCAAGAATGCAAAATGTTGACTATTGGTATCCAAGGCAACCAAATTGCTCTAGTTTTCCTCCTCCCATGACAGTTCTTTCATATCAATTTAAAAAGATTAAATTGGCAATTTGTAATCTGTTAAGTGTGCACATATCAAGATGTTCTCAGATCCTGGGATTATAACTTCTTGATCTCATTGCATTACTTGAATAATTCCATGACTTCTGCATGCATTGTGTGTTGTATGTATATTTCATGTGTTAAGAACTTTTTTTAGCCTTATTCAAGTTGTAATTTAGCTCTGCATTATTTAACTCTTCTGTCATGTGCTGCTGTACAAGTAAATATGGCACTTTGCACATGCTTTGACAGTGTCACCTGCTTCCATGTAGAGATGCATGGATGATGATGCAAGGATTGATGTCATAGTTCCATTACCGTATTGAAGGGGTGGCTGACGACCTTTTACCCCGGTAACTATCAGATCAGTCACATCAATTTTGTTTGATTGGTTCAATGATTTCACTTACATGACTCACCAGCAGAGAGGTGAGTTTGTGCTCATTGCATTTGAGCAGGTAGGTTGATACAGCTATTAGGTGGGTGGTGTTTTCTCCTGCTTTAGTGCAGCATACAGCATTGAACTCTCACAACACTTATAGCATGAGCAGGAGGGTGTAACTCCCATTGCCGCAGAAAATAGATTGCTTCACTTGAGAAAACCGATGGACCGTTTTTTACACATCTTAGCAGTATAGGTCCATCATTTTGCACCCCACCATCATTGGAACTGTGAATGACAGCTGGAGGAATGGTGGTGGAACAGTAATGTGTGGATTAGGCCCAGCTGGCTCCTCTACATTGTGTTACCACCATGTGATCACAGAAACGAATGTGAGGAGACCCATGGTCACTGCCAGACTATGAGAGCTCCAGTGCTCAGCTGGTGCCAATTGTCCAGATATTGACGTTGGCCGCCAGTAGTGACTCGGAGCGCTGCTGCAGGGTCACGATGGAGCACGTGCCATTCCCGGGCCCGTTCTCGCCGCCGGGACACTTTGGCGGCCGTTCGCCCTTCATCAATCCGATGTGCGGCCACTGGTCATGTCCGCTGACCGTATCACATCACCACTGCAGCCAGTGCGGCTACGGCAGCGCCGAGGTGAGGCGTCCGCCGCCATCCATCGCCGCCGGCCGCAACTTGGGCTTCCCAATGTCGTACAGAGAGGGCGCTGTTTGGCACTCGCTGGTGGGTACCGGATTTCCCGGGGATAATGAAGGATCGCAAGTGTGACAGGTTGACCTTAACCTTGGTGGGCAGATGGCCGCTGCCCGACACTCGTGACCGCTTTCGTTGCTTCTGGTTGCCAGATGGTGACTGCCAGACACTCGCAACCGTTTTCGTTGCCTCTGGTTGCCAGATGAGCCAGCTGAGGGTGCACTCGTGCCGGCGACCCTACGGCGTGGACCTGCCGCCCCCTCCTCCGCCGCCGCCGCCGCCGCCGCCCACGTTCTACCAGCCGGGGCCGCCCTCGGGCTACTACCGACCACCGCCAGATGACAGGGGTAGGATAGCCTGGTTATGCCTCTGTACTGGGGACTGGTCTTCTGGTCTATCTGGGGGACTAGACCTGGCTGCTGCCGACTGCCCTCTTCACAACGGCGACCAGTCGCAGTCACAAGACCAGATGTGGGCGACGGCGGCAGTGGTGGTCACGATGCGCACGCGGGCTGTGTCTGCGCACGCCCAGCTGCGCGGCTGGCTGCAGCGGCTACCGATGCGTCTACCGGCTACCGATGCGGCTACCAATGCGTCTGTAGAACGTTCGCGGACACCGGAATCCTGAGACTGGCTCTCGAAGCTCGCTACGTTGGGGACTTGGGAGGACGTGATGGACTTCGCTACTAGGGGGGAGGGGGGCAGGACCTCGGCTTGATTGGCTGGTGGGGTAATGATACATTTGGACGGATGTGTGGGCTTGACCTACCACCTGAGTCTGCCCAGCTGTCACCTCACGCACATGCCGTCTCTCGCGCGTGTTTCGGATCGTTCTGGAAGTCGTTGCCTATTCTGTGCGGGCCAGGAGAGGAAACGTCTAGATACATGAAAGATAGCTCGGTAGTTGCCAAGGACGTGGCGTGGGAGAAAATGACATGTCCAGATGACATCCGCGCTGCAGTTGCATTTAAAAAATAATGTGGATGTCGTCTGTGGACACCGATAGCGGCCCGGTGCGCCGGCGGCGTCACTGCGATGTGGAAACCAGGCAGGCACCAATTCATAGCTTCCGCCCAAAGTCCAGCTTGTCAAGCCATTCGACCCACGTCGTCTCCGTGACGGCACCGCAGCGGTGCTGGGCTCGGTCCCGTGACTGAGTCTCCCCCCCCCCTTCAAAGACTACGGCGCGCTGGCCGGCCGCGCGTTCTTCCCAGCGGCGCCGATCCTCGGGCCGCAGTACTTCGCGCCGCCGCCGCCAGGGGCGCAGCTGTACCGGCCGACGCTGCACGCCCCACCGCAGGGCATTCCGGGTGAGCCTGCGCTGCCGGGGGTGGCGAAGAGGTGACTGCTGTCTTGTGTTGGTGGTGGTGGAATAAAGGACTGGTGGAGTTGTCGGTGTGAGTTATTCATTATCATGTTGTGAAATATTTATGAAAGACAAGATGAAATGTAGCGTGTGGTGATAATGTGGTACAGATAGGCGTAGTACAGTTACGGGATCGTTGGTAATATTCGTAGCAGTTTCGAAGCAAGATATGTTGTGATAATGGCCGTAAGCGCTTAATGATGTTATTTGTTTCGTGGACCGACTAAGTATTGTTTTCCTGCGTGGAGTCGTGTGCATGTGTCTCCAGCCGCATCGTCGGCTGCGGGGCGGTCTGCCTGGTCCCCGCGGTCTGCGGCCTGCGTGGTCCCGCCACGGTGTCACTCTCGACGTCCGTTCCGCGGCGGCCTGAGCCGAGCCCCGCCCCGCCTCCGGCCACGGTCCTGGCTCTGACATTGGCCCTGATCGCCAACATCAGTCCCGACCCCGACCCTGACTGGGACGCGCCTCGACAGAGGGCCCGGTGCCGGCGGCGCCGCTGGACTTCTCAGCTGAGCGGCGCGGCGCCTCTCCTCCGGTCGACGCCGAGGCGTACGCGGCGCGGCGCTGGCTGCCGCCGGGACCGGCGCCGGGCGGCGGAGCCGGCCGGTGGCGCGGCCGAGCCGGCGGAGCGGGAGCTGCCGCCCCGCGCGACCCTCCTGCCAGCTGCAGGGGCGTCCACCGGCCGTCGAGCCGCCGCCGCCATCGCAGCCGCAGCCGCAGCCGCAGCCGCCCCAGCCGCTGCAGCCGCACGCAGCCGCAACCGCAACCGCAACCACAACCACAACCACAACCACAACCACAACCACAACCACAACCACAACCAGCAACCGCAAACCACAACCACAACCACACACGCAAACACAACCACGACCACAGCCACATCAGCAACCACAACCACAACCACAACCACAACCACACATACAAACACAAACACAACCACGACCACAGCCACAGCAGCAACCACAACCAAAACCACCACCACAACCACAACCACAACACAACCGCAACTTCAACCGCAGCCGCAGCCGCAGCCGCAACCGCAGCCGCAACCGCAGCCGCAACAGGCGGCGGTGGTGGCTGGCGAGCCGGTGGTGACGACGGCGCCGGTGGCGCCCCCTGCGCCGGCCTCAGCGCTGCAGGAGAAGGCGGAGCCAGCCTCACCGGGCGGCCGGGCCCGGCAAGGAGAGGAGGAGCGACCGGAGGATCGGGATGAGGCCGCGCAGGACCAGGTGAGTGAGAGGGGGGGGGGGGGGAGGGGGAGGCAGTAACTCCTGGTGTGCCGGAATAGGCAGGTGGCGCGACCAGTGCAGGCTGGGCCCCTGCGGTGGACGTCGACAGGGCTTGGTCCGCGCAGCAGCGGCGTTCATAAGAAGCGATGGGGTGCGCGTGGACAGATTGGGGCTGCCGCTTTAGGCAGGCTATAGGCATGTGTTCGGTTTCGCGTCGTTCTTTCGTCTTGGCTCTTGGTCACCGAATGCCGAACTTGTGCTCGACTCCGCCTTGGCTCCGAATCGAGTCGAAGTTTATTCCGACTCTGCCGGGAGTTAAGCTACTCGGCTAGCCCGCCATCAGCTGTCGTCTCAGACCACGCTCCCCCCGCCAGCGCGCCGTGGACTCGCCCGGCTCGCCTGCCGGTGGCGGCTCCGCCCTGGGCAGTGACGGTGGCGCGTCCCTGTCGCCCATCAACGTCGACATCCAGGTGCACTGCCTCATCTGCAGCACCCGTGTCAACCCGCAGGCCGACCAGTACTGCGACATTTACCTGGACAACATCGTCACCGCCCACTCGCGGCTGCCTGTCTCCGAGAAGTTGGGGCGTGTGCTCAGGTGAAGACCCGGACGCAGTGCTGGGCAAGGGTCTGCGATCTCGGGTGGGGCGATGCGCGAGCGGCGGTAGTTTTACGTTCGCGATCTGTGCGCCGTTTACTGTTACACACGCTGGTGCGCGTCACGCCCGTCTTACGCTGGCGTTTTTGCGGGTCGTGCACGTGCACAACACGCCGTCCGAGAGCTCGACAGAATGTCGTGTGCCGGACTGCGCGTCCCTCCGGCCGTGGCTGGTGCTGGCACTACAATCGCACTGTTCTGTATATGTCTGACGATGTTCACGTGAGCTTGCTCCACAGACAGCCCGTAATGGGATAGTGTAGATCATGCATGCCTTTTACCGGAAGCTTCTACCATAGATGTGTAATCCACAACAACTCACGCGCGTAGATGTTGAAGCGTCCGTCTGCCTGTCCGTCGCCTCAGGTACCACTTCTCCCCGGAGCTGCTCTACAGTCACACACTGTGCAGGCGATGCTTCAACATTATCAACGGCATCGACCAGCTGGAGGGCCGGCTGGAAAAGCTCAGGTCAGCATCAGTGGCGGCGCGATCAGTCAGGGAGCTCTCACTTCGTTGGATCACTGACAACTGATGTCGACAGAAGCCAGTCGGACAGAAGCGTCGGTCGACAAAGGCTTGATCAGTCGCACGTTCCTATGCTAGGTCACTTCCCTTGCGGCGTGTTGGTCACCCCTGCCCAACGAGCGCGAAGAGTCATCGATACGCGTCCAACGCCGTGTTGGGTCTTTGTTACATGTGAGTGTGAACAACCAGTTTGCGATCATTTTTTTGAAGTATGGATCAACGTGAGCGAACTATTAAGTGGATAAATAACGCGCTTTATGGTCTGTAATAGCACATAATCAGGGTGTTTGAGGGCGCGTTTTGATGCCGTACACCTTCGCTTAAGCACTTACTCCTCTCACCACGGCGGTGTTTTGGGAAAACGGTTGTTTTCATTCCTGTCTTTGTGAACTGCCGATATTTGTGGAATTCGGTTTGGCTCGCGGCTCCATCTGGCCGGTGACCATCCGCTCACCGCCAGTGGCGGCTCCATCCGGCCGGTGGCCCTCCGCTCCCCGCCGGTGGCGGCTCCATCTGGCCGTGGCCCTCCGCTCCCCGCCGGTGGCGGCTCCATCTGGCCGGTGGCCCTCCGCTCCCCGCCGGTGGCGGCTCCATCCGGCCGGTGGCCCTCCGCTCCCCGCCGGTGGCGGCTCCCGAGGGGTGTGCACAAGGACAACTTCAGTATCGATCCGTGGAGAAAGCGGGAGAATTTGCGTGAGGGGTAAGGGGTTTCGCCATGGGAAACATTGAGTGCTTTGGCGAACATAAAGATCATCTGTTCATGGCTTAACACGTCGGTGGTACATTTTAAGGTTTCTTCCTGTTTTCGGCGCGCTTTCTCTAAATTTCACCGGTTTCTAGGTCGGGAGGCATGTTACAAGAATGGGCGTAACTCCACGTCCTCGTACCTAGTCTTTTGCTCGTGACACACATCTACCCAGTTGGATTCATAAGGCGGCGTTTTTCGTCATCACACCGCCGGACGTGAGGTTTGTATGCGCCGAACACGGCGGCTGTAGAAGCCCGGCTGGCCCGGAGAAGAAGGCTCGCTCTGATCCGTGTCGGCTTCCCATAAGGCGTACCATTAACTCAACTTTGACCTGGGCGCGGGTTCTGACGGGATGTAGAAGCCCACAAAGGCGGGGACACGGTGAGCTGGCTTACGGATGGAAAATGGATTGGCCCAGTGCCGGTTTTGTGTGGGACAGGAGGATGACTGGCTGTCGGAGACCTCAGTTCCCTCGCTGGATGTGTCGCGGAGCGCACCACTTCGTTGGGGGATCATCCGCCAGCTGATCGGCGCTAGCCCACACTCCTTCGCCCAGCGGTGACAAACGGCTCCCGCCAGTGCTTTAGTCCGCGTGGGAAGACCCGACTGGCTCGTACGGCCGCCTGAGTAGGCGGCAGGCCGGCGCCCCTGGCCGCCGCCAGTTCCGCCGCGCTCGGCGGGAGGCGCCCGGCGACGCGGCCGTCTGAGCCGGCTCCGCCCGTGTCGGCCTGAGTTACGGGCCGACTTGGAGCGCGGACCGGCGCCGGCGGCCGGACGGCCCGCGCTCTCCACACGGGGCGGCGTCCTGGGGGAGGGGGGCTGACCTCGTTGGAGGCGTCTGTTACGCCGCGCCGCGCTGGTGGCGGCGGCGGGCGGAGCTCGCAAGGCGCGGCGGCGCGGCGGCGCTCGGTGTCGGTACTGGGTGTGCGAGTCCCGTATCCAAATGCTTTTGATGTCTATGTTTGGACCGTGAATGTGGAGTTCTATGACAGTGACTTCTTAACGTGTATTTTGATAGTGGATCTAAATACGCTCAATGATTTCAGTTTGGTGTCAGCCTTGGGGTCAGTAATAAGAGCAGAGTGTACCGTTTGCCGCGCCGCCTGGTTCTGGCGCTACGTCCGTAGTGCTGAGACTAGCTGCCGTAGCACGCCCGTGGAGCGTGGGGAGTGACGCGACGCGAGAGTCGGACGGTCCGGAGCCGAGGGTCCGACGGTCCGGAGCCGGGGGTCCGACGGTCCGGAGCCGAGGGTCCGACGGCCCAGAGCCGAGGGTCCAACGGTCCGAAGCCGAAGGTCCAACGGTCCGGAGCCGGGGGTCCAACGGTCCGGAGCCGAGGGTCCAACGGTCCGGAGCCGAGGGTCCCACGGTCCGGAGCCGGGGGTCCAACGGCCCGGAGCCGGGGGTCGGACAGTCCAGAGCCGGGAGTCCGACGGTCCGGAGCCGAGGGTCCCACGGTCCGGAGCCGAGGGTCCGACGGTCCAGAGCCGAGGGTCCAACGGTCCGAAGCCGAAGGTCCAACGGTCCGGAGCCGGGGGTCCAACGGTCCGGAGCCGAGGGTCCAACGGTCCGGAGCCGAGGGTCCCACGATCTGGAGCCGGGGGTCCAACGGTCCGGAGCCGGGGGTCGGACAGTCCAGAGCCGGGAGTCCGACGGTCCGGAGCCGAGGGTCCCACGGTCCGGAGCCGAGGGTCCGACGGTCCAGAGCCGAGGGTCCAACGGTCCGAAGCCGAAGGTCCAACGGTCCGGAGTCGGGGGTCCAACGATCCGGAGTCGGAGCGCGGGCTACTTTAGCCGCGCGATCACTCTACTACTTTACACTACTTTAGTCGGCGGCCCCTCTGTACTTAGATGCGGCGTCGGAACGAAGAAATAATTTCCTGTTGTTGTCTGTGCGTGTCGCCATACATGAGCCGGTGGTGTAAAGGCGGTTGGTCCCAGTCACCCAGGCCATCCATGAAGCAATCATTTACTCATGCACCACGGTCTTCGCCTACGCTCGTGCTGGTTTGAATGCCATTAGATTATCTGCAGTCAATGAGCGGCTACAACGCCTGAACGCCCTCTGCCTGTGGCGAGGGGTGACTGCAATCGTCAGCCTGTCAGGCGGGGTGGCAAACACCGGAGTCTTACTGACACGGGAGGCATCGGTCGTGGGCGTTTTTGTTGCTGGGTTAGCGTCTTCAATAAACGAAAAGGAGGAGCTGCCAGCTGAAGGCTGAGTGTTTGCGCACCACTCGGCGGCGAGCACCGTCCAATCGGCTCTCAGGAAATCCCAGCGGGGCGAGCGAATACCGGCGAGTCGGCAGCCGGACGAGGCAACAGCCACTGCTGCGTGGGGAGTGTCACGACATACCACACAGACCGCGCAGCCGAGTTACGGCGCTGGTGGAGCAGGTAGTGCTGGAGGCGGCTAATGATGGAGGCAGCGGCTGATGCCGGACCGTTGTGCCAGATGTGGGGCGGCCTGCGTTTTTAAAACGTACTGGCTATTTCTGTTGAGTGGACTCTCCAGCCACCCTCACCTCCCCCTCCTCCCTCACTCTCTACGCCGAGTTGTGGAAGTTAAAATCACCAAGAACATGGATGGTATGTGGTGGACGCTGCAGCAGACTACCATGCTCTGTCGTCAGACCCATCCGGCGGGGCTAAGCACAACATTGCCGTCGCCGTGGGGACTCCCCAGGTGGACAGCAGCGATGGCTTACAGGCCAGCATTAACAACGAGTTTGCAGCAAGGGGCACATGCATGCTTTGTAAAACCCATGCCACTGTGGTCAATGGCATCTCATCTGCCATGTTTTTTTTTGTACATGCGACGGCATGTGATGACCCGAACCGTGTTCGAGAGACCTTGGTCCCCTGCGGTACGCTGCGGCTAAGTTATAGAGGGCACTGGAGAAGACCGATTGTGATAGTTGGGCTACATTGCCTCGGAGACCTCGAATCTCCTCTGAAATTGAACTCCGTGTCCGAGGTTTACAAGTCAGCTAGAAATATGTCATCTGGTCTAACAATGGGCGCCATATGACCGGGCTAACCGGAGCGCCCTAAGGCCCAAATCATCATCATCATCATCATCTGGTCTAGAAGTGGCCGGCAGCCCAGCGCTCCCGTTTAGACGCTCAGCTTCAGTAGAGCCCAGCCGGTCCCCGCTGGGCTCCACTGAAGCGGGCCCAGCTGGTCCCGCTGGTGGGCTCCGCGGCAGCTGAGGCTGGCGAGCTCCGCCGCTGGAGGTGGCGTAGACCGGGCAGGAGCGCGCTCAGTCGCCGGCCCCGCCGCTGGGGACGGCTGGGTGGACTGACTTCGCCCGTCATCACCACACGAGCAGCCGGAGGCTCCCCGTCACTGACCCTCCCGGCCAATGGGGGGAAGGGGGGGGGGGGGCTCGATTGCTGCCCGACCCTGACCCGTGGGGCCCAGGCCAGCCTAGCGACCCTCCGACGATCCTCCCGATCCAGAGGCCGCGGACGGGCGTCGGCTTCAGGCGGGCGGCGGGAGGGAGTAATCGCCGAGGGTGGCCGTAGGGTCCTCTCCGCCTCCGGCACGTGGGGACGACTGGTGGCGTGAGGGCCGCTTGCCGGCCGGGCTGGGGCGCGCAGCGAGAGGCCAGGGCCGAGGTCCCGGCGGGCCGCGGTCCAGCCCTCCTCTCCTGCCCGCTCCACCCCTGGGTACACCTCCTCCGCCGGCGCCCCCCCCCCCCCCCCCTCACAAACCGCATCCCCGGGCCGGTTTACTAGGTGCGGCCCGCAGAGGATCCTTCACGAGCGTCCGGCTTAGATGACGTTGCAGTAGTGGTCCCCTGAGCCCCTAGTGTGAATAATCACCCTAATGCAGTGTCATACCCTCGCGTCTCCAGAAGCATGCAAACCCGTTTGCGGCCAAAACTCGCGCACTGGGCACGGCCACCGAAGGGCTGCACCCTTTGCTCTGCCGCTGCGTCTCATTACGATTTCGTGACGTGGGCTTCACTGAATCGACACGGGGTCTCGGCACTTGGTGCCTGACACCAGTACACTTTCTACACGTTCCAGCACTTTCTAGCCCTTTCAATGAAATATCAGTAAGACTGGCACCTACATATAGCACATCACGGACTTGGGAGCATACCGGCATTTGTTTCAGGCATGTCCACTCAGGTATGATTGGCAACCATACCTGAATGGTATGGTTGCCAATCATGATCATATCGGAGAATGCAGGTAGCCACCCCACCACTTGTCCTCTAATATTGACCGAAACGTCTAGCCTCTCGCATGTTTCTAATTTCCTCGTCCTTTGAGGATGGACTCGCGGCTCGGCCGTCGACACCTCGAGCTATTTCCGTTTGGGGCGCCGAACTTCGAGAAGCCTGCTCACGGCGGAGAGGCTTAGTGTTCAACGGATCGGTTTTCCTTCGCCGTTGGGTCGGTGGGACAAATCATCAGAGACTGCGGGAATGGCTCGTTCGCGATAGTGCAGTTGGTGGTGGGATCAGTGAGCCGACAGTCCATAAGTGTGCTGTATGCTTCGGGGCTCTGGGTTCCCGCCCAACACTGGTCTCTGGGTCCCCGCCCAACACGGGGTCCAACTGAGTGTACTGTATGCCTCGGGGCTCTGGGTCCCCGCACAACACGGGGTCCAACAGATTTCGGGACAGGGTGTCCCGAAATTTAGGTGCGGTTGTATCGTCCTCACCAACAGAGAAAATAATTGAGACTGGTTTGTGATGTATTTGCCTATGTAATCTCCACACAGTCGTATACGCTGCCGCATGCGCTCCGGCATGCCGCTCGTCAGGCTGTCGAAGGTTTCTGCTCTGATCCTCCGCCACGCCGCTTGCACGTTTGTAACAGGGTCTTCTCAAACGACGCCGGTGACGTCTTGCCGAACTCCTCCTTGACGATCCCCCAGAGATTCTCGATCGGCGACATGTCGGGATTGTTGCCTGGCCACTTACCCTTCGCCCAGAAGCTCGGGAAGTTGGCACAGCACCAGTCCTGGGTCTTCCTGGCGTGATGAGCTAGAGCGCCGTCCTGCTGGAAAATCGCACTCGACATGTTTGGCAGAAGTTTGACCTTGGTTGGAGGGCTATTTTCCTTCCTCCGCTGCATCGCTGAGATTGCGGTCTTCTCCGGTACCCCTTTGAAGTAGAAGTCGGCGGTGGCGGTCTGTCCTCCGGGAGCTGGTGTGGCTCAGAGAGTCCTCTGTAGCTTATCATACCCCAGACAAAAAATATTTACCTTTTGTAGCTGTTTTAGCTGCTTCACTGTCTCGGCAATCGGCATCTACAAGCTGCTGTTTACCCAGACCCGGTCTCTCTGGCTGTTAGGGTCTTGGAAGAGCTCGAAGGGCGTCTCGTCACTGAACAGAGCGCGTCTCCAGTCCTGAACGGACCAGTTCTTGCAGGTCTTGGTTGATTCCAGCCGCCTGCGCTACTGGTCCACGGTAAACGTTGGATGCAACCTGAGCTGGAGTAGCTTCAGTTGCGGGCTGGTCTTCAGATACTGGTGGACGGCCGACTTGGAAACTGTATGACTCTTCGCCGTCAGTTTTCTCGCCGGGGTTCTCGTCGAGTGGCGCCTTTTGAATGCCAACTTGGCAATGGCGTCCTCTGTCACTCGGCTCAGGGCCGACTTCCGCCCACGACCTGCGCGATTTTCGAGCGCATCTCCTGAGCGGTCGCGAGCCAGCCGGTGCCTAAGATCGATGGCTCGTGCTCTTTCACCATTGGCGATATGCGGACTCGACGCCTTGGCTGGACTGGTGTGTGTGCTTGCGTGCGTGCGTGCGTGCATGCGTGCGTGCGTGCGTGCGTGCGTGCGTGTGTGTGTGTGGGGGGGGGGTCCCACCTTGGGGAGCGGCACCGCCATGGACGCCAGTTCGTCATACACAGGCGCCTACAAAAAGAGTTGTCGCGGGTCGCGGTGGGAACGCATTGACGGGAGTCAATGGCTTAGGCCACAGGGGCTAATCTGACGTATCGGGCATGGACCGAGGCCGGTTCCACTAACCTGGGAGAGGCGAAAACAGTGGTCAGCCCCCCCCCCCCCCCTCCCCAGCGACTGTCGCACACCCTCTCTAACCACTAGCCCTGACGACATCACGTGACCATCTGCTCTGGCCGCACCGAGTCTGGCGGGACATCCACAGTGAGACATGGCTGGACCAAAGGCGCGTGTTGAATGACTGCCTTGGTCAGCCCGTAAGACGGTCTTCTCAGTAGCCAGGAGCGCCCCCCCCCCCCCCCGTCGGTGCCGGGGGGACAATGGGGCGCGTCAGTTAAGCTGAAGCCTACCATCTGGTGCGGAGGCATTGCTGGCCACGGCAGCCAAATTGCCAGGCAATACTACCATGCTCAATGGGGAACCGCGCTAGCGCAGTGCTAAACAGGACATTGATGGCGCATTTTCTCTGGTCTGTTGAGCGTCAGTCATCGGCTGACATGAGAAGCGATGATAGCTGGCGAGCGTCGAACCGGCCTCCTCCCTCATAAGGTGGCGGTCACATCTGCAGAGGTGGTGGCGCGGCTTAATATTCCGCGCCGCCGTCATCCGCAGCGGCGCGGCATTCATTTGCCGCGGCTTAATGACGCTGTCACGGCCGCTGATCCGCGCCCGCTGCGCCCCCCAGACGGATCAGCGCCACCGCCGCGGCGTGTAGCGCCCAGTGTTTGCCCGGGCCTGGGCTCGGTAAAATGGAGAGTTGTTGTTGCCGGATGTCGCAACTTTGTGGGGAGTTTGCGGCTGTTCGGCTGCTGGTGCGTGCTCGGATGGTGGCCTGGTCTCGTCCGGGCGGAGCTGGCGGCCCCCGGCCCCCGGCCCCCGGCCCCCGGCCCCCGGCCCCCGTCCCGTGCCGCCCTCTGGGTCTGCAGCGCTTGAGGACGCGTCGGGCGCCGGCCCTTTTTCTAGATTGGTGTCCCCCGCCCCCACGGGCACGGAGGGTGGTTGGTGTGATGTGTCATATGGGCCGTATACTTGGTCTTTCGGTGCCTGCGCGCCGGGAGTGGTCCCCAGCAGCACACCAACTGATTGCGTGGAAACGTAGGAAACGTGGCACAGCACCTGTAGTATTTAGGGGCGGCGTCTGCTGTAACGTTACAACTGCTATGTCAAGTGGTTACGTGGCGTGCCATGAAGTCCGCTTGGAGGTGAACTTGTCGCCACAATTGCGGTTGCGATGGGCTTGGGCAAATGCGCTCACAGCTCGCATTGATGTTCAGCCAGCACCTGCCGTTTCAACTTGGTCTTGACGTCAGTCCGGTCATTGCGTGGCCCGTGGCAAACGACCTGAGCATTTTCAGTTGGATGTAGCAACCTGCGCCTCGCAGATTATAAGCACCCTTCCCATTTACGTGACCCGGAAGTCCCCTTACACGTACACGCGGCCATGAAACCCTCGTGGACGTCCCAGCGGTCCAGCGATCCCGTTCCCCTCCGCCCAGCATTCCCCGTTGTCGGTCTGGTGACAGAAAATCCCGTGTTCCGACCTGTGACGCAGGCTCCCCTCACTCGTCACTGTCGCCCAGCCGCCTCCGTGACCGGCACTGCGACTCAAGCCTCCGTGACCGTCCCTGTGACCTAGAATCGGCTGCCACACTTCCTTGTACCCATCACCGTGACCCCGTTTTGCCGCCCGTGACTGACGCTCGTGCTTCCACGCGCTGTGCTTTCCGCCTCAGTCCCGTCCAGTAACCGTGATTTGTGCCAAGCCCACGACGCTGCCTTGTGGCGGCCTTTTCCTGACCACTTACGGAGGACATCCTCTCTCTGACGACGGGCTTACGCTCGTCTGGCAGGCGGGTACCAGCACCGAGGCCGACACGTGAGGCATGGAGAGTGGTGCTGCATCGCACTCGATGCCGTGGGAGACGCTGCTGATGGGTTTAAGGCGGCCCAAAAGTCGACGCGCGGTTGGATGCCTACCATCTGCCATCCCTGCCTTTCTTGAGAGGTCTTAACTTGGTATGAAAACGGATGAAGATAAAGACGAGTGGTGCTGGCATTAACTGTTACGATTGAATTTAAGGTGGCGCCTGTGGGGAAACGTCCTCCCCCTTCGTGCTAATGGCGCACCGGAGAAAGATAGAAGGAGAAGAGCGAGGAGTGAGATGCGATTAGATTGTCCTTAGCTTTATCTTTATCAGTGGGCAGTGAGCGTGACGTGACGGTCCCTGGCGCCTGGGAGACAAGTAGGTGCTCGTTAAAAGAATGTTCCAAAAGTGAAGGCAGGAGCATGGCAGAAAGGGCAGCACTTCTCGTCCTTCGGTTTGCCTGCCTGCTTGTTGGATCTAGATCTGTTCGCACCTCGTGTCGCGCTCTTTTGCACAGTCACTGACATGGGATCGTCTGAACGGACCCTCTGAACGAGCCGACCTGCACGGTGCGCAGCGCGTGAACCACATTTGCTGTATCTTCTAGCACCGCCCTGGTACGGGTGAGATCAAAGTGGTCAGGCCTTGCGACAGCCCTCGCTGACCTCCCCCTTCCCCCTCTGCCGCCCCCTAAAACCGCCCCTAGCGTGCCCTGACCAACCCCGAAAAGCTCTTGGATGCCCCTGCCCCACGAAACGTTTTTGGAAAGCCTCGGAATTTTTCTGTGATCTTTTTTAGTCATGGACCTGCCCGTGCCTTGGCCCTGTTGAACCTTAACCACGACCAGCGCTGCACCCTCGGCCGATCTGAGCTGATCTCTGTCGGTGCCAACAGGTCGGAGGTGCGCCATAAGTTCAGCGTCACCTGCCAGGAGCGCGGCCTGGACGATGACCACTTCCCGCCGCGGCTGGAGGCGGAGGCAGCACCGCCGCCGCCAGTCGGCTGCCACCCGCGCCGTGCAGACGTCGCCGCCGCCGCTACCGTGGCAGTGCGGCGCGTGCGCGCGCGCCTTCCGCTACCGCAGCGAGCTTCGCCGCCACGCCGCCGGCCACGGTGGCGGCAGCCGGCGGCAGGCGGGGCCAGCGCGCCTGCGCTGCGCCGCCTGCCGCTGCGGCCGTCGACAGCCGCGCGGCACTGCTGGCGCACGTCTGCGCCGCGCCGGCCGCCGCGCGACCGACGTGCGCCGGCTGCGGACGCGCCTTCACGTTGCGACGGAACCTGCTGGCGCACCGGCGGCTGTGCGGCGAGGCGGGACGCGCCGAGCGGTTCACCTGCGCTGACTGCGGCCGCCGCGTTGTCGGCCGACTCAATTAACCCGCCGCCACGTGATGGCGCATGAGCGCAGTCACCCGCACGTGTGCGGCACGTGCGCCAAGGGCTTCGCGAAGCCGAGCGATTTGAAAGCGCCACGAGAGCACGCACGAGAAGGTGAAGTCGCACGTGTGCGAGGCGTGTGGGAAGCAGTTCTCGACGGCGTCGAACTACAACCAGCACGTGGCAACGCGTGCATCGCGAAGAGAGGGATTCGCGTGCTCCGTGTGCCCGAAGACGTTTTCCTACGGCAGCCTCGCTGAAGATTCACATGAAACGCCACGAGGGCGAGAAGGCCTTCAAGTGTTCGCAATGCGCGAAGGAGTTCTTATACAAAAATAATCTAGTCAGACATTTAAAACTGCACGCTGGGGAAGAGGCCAACAAGTGCAAACACTGTGATGCCACGTTTAAGAAGAAATCAGCCCTCAAAGAACACTTACTTACGTGTTTTTAAAACATTTTATGGAATGATGTGATCGATTCGTTTGATGCAGTCATTGTTGATATTCACGTGATGGACTGTGTCGTTATAGTGGCGTTTGTGTGCCTGTACCTATGCACATGCGTACCTTTATTCCTCTAATGCTATGTGGAGATATGAAGTTGGTGTTCTGTAACTGCGCAGCTGGGGGACGTGCTGCTGTTGTGTAGCAGGCCGGGCTGAGAATAGCCTGATGAGCGCGGCAGTTGCCATCAGGGAGTGCCTGGTAGTCCACAAGTGACGGCTCTTCTGAGGTCAGAGGTCTGAGGCCTGAGGTCAGGCCACCAGCATGGTGACCGCAGTCACTGATCCGCAGTATGCGCATTATCCGTCACATTTGCCACGATTATATGGGAGAGTGTCGAGGTCTCGGTTGTTCGTTGGTATTCTGCGGGACGGGTCCGATGCGTCGCGTCACCGGAGTGGCCCGACTCACACCGTACGGCCCGGCTCGTTCCCGCTGGCTGCGCTGTGTGAGTGGAGGCTGTTGCCCAGAGCCTGCAGGCGGCTCCAGTTGAGACGGACCGGGCCGTCTGTGGCAGCCATCCGGCCACGGACCCGTGCTGGGGACGTGGCTGCCCCGCCTGGACTGGTGCCCCCCACCGGCCAGCGACAAAGTCGGCGAATGCGCATGCGCCGTGTCGCCCGCTTTGGCTCGGTGGCTGGGACAGGCAATCATCAGCTGTTGCCTGACCCTGCCTGCACGGGACTGACCTAAGCGCAGATCGAACCAGCAGCAGTGGTCGACACTGGACTTGACTCTGGTCCTCCGCACTGTCCTGCAGGGGCGGCCGTCAGTCAGGAGCGACTTCAGGCTCAGTCATACCTCGCGGATGCAGGTAAAAAGCTTACAAGCGGTCCCTGTGGTCTGCAACACCTAACGACCGCAGAATCTGCCTGGCATTCTGCGGGCTTCAGCTGCTGCGGGCTGCACGTACCAGATTAGAGAGCTAAAGGCTGATACCCGTAGTGAAAAGAACTCTGCCCACGCTCTGAGGACGTGCGGGTTCAAATATGGTGCGTCTGGCCCGGGATGGCTGACGGCTACAGAATCTGCAGCGGATGTGTAAGGCGTCACCGGCACGAAAAGATGCGTAATGATTTATCTTAGTTGAACGCGCTGTGACGTCAGCGATTCGCGCCGTTCCTGTCTTTCCGTAGCCGCTTGACCAGCTTGTAAGGAATTTGCGGAATGATGAGGCGCCACGGCCAGGCTAAGGACACGTAACTTACACCTTGTGCTCGTTTATTCTCTATCAGCATCACATGTGACTATTTACAGTTCTGAATGTACACGATGTCAACAGCAATGGAATCACGTGGCACAACTATAGGTCTCATAACTGTTGACAGTCTGCTTATAAACGAGCACAGCACGACTCTAAAACCGCGGCCGAGCCGGCACGTTATTAGTTATCTACCGTGGAAGATCCTTGAAGGCTACCAGTCGTTACTTGGACCACGTCACTACAGTCTGTCGGCGTGCGCGCGGCGCTCAGAAGTGGGTCGTCGCTTGCGCAGCCGGCGTCGGTGTACCGGGCGGCGACGGCGGCGGCGCCTTCCACGTCCACCGCCGGCGCCAGCGGCGGCGGCGCGCCCTCGTCGGTCGCGGCGAACGCGCCGACCTCTGCATCGGCGTCGGCGCCGGGACGCTCCGGCGGCTCGAGGCCGTTGACGCTCACGCCCTGCGAGTCGGCGCGCACCAGGTCGAACGAGACGCGCGCCGGCGCCGCGTCCGCCTCGAACTCCGGGTTGTCGATCCCCCGCTGGCGCCGGCGTGCGGCAGCGACGGCGTCGACGAGGTGCGCCGCTGCGCCAGGCGCGCCGGCACGTCCAGCTTCGCCTCGTGGCGGCGCTGCGAGAGCGCGCGCGCCAGCTTCTCGCGCAGCGACGGGCCGCGGTGGCTCCGACTCGCGCACGCGCTGCACCAGCGTGCGCAGCGCCGGCGGCGCGTCGTCAGCGACGTCATGCGGCAGCGGCGCCGACGTCATACTGCTGAGCGGCGCGTGCGGCGCCCGTTTGAAGTCCTCGTCGGACATGGAGCGCGCCGGGACCTCGCAGCTGTTGGACGACTTGGACCGCGAGCGCCAGCTGAGCACGGCCGAGAAGGCCGACAGCGCCGACATGTTGCGCTTGGGTCGCGGTTGCGGCGTCGGCGCCGGCTCCTCGGGCCGCGGCATGTTCGGCATCGCCACCAGCAGGTTGAGGAACATCTCCCGGCAGGCGGCCATCATGTCGTTGATGGTGTCGGGGAGCGGGCGGTGCGAGGTCTCGGGCAGAAGGCGCGAGAGCGCGGCCGCCAGCAGGGTCAGCGCCCCCACCACCACTCCCACCCACTTGCTGAAGGTGATCTGCCAGCAGGCCAGGCGAGGCTTAGTGTCATGCGCTAGGGTGCACACGTGGAGGCAACGCAGGTGGGATCGTAACCGGACATGGAAACCATTCTCAAAAGCAACTCACGATACGCGTACCAGTAAACTGGGCACGCTGGACATCAGCGAAAGCATATGTGACTCATTCCCAGCACTGGCAAACATGCTCCACGTGTGAGGACATCGTCAAAATGAGCTGTGAAGTTGTGCTAAAAAGCAAACCAGGCAACCAAAGTCAAACCCGAGATCGACTGACCGCCTGACCCGAGTTCAACTGCGCGCCTGACCCGCGGTCAACTGCTCGCCCGACCTGACCCGAGCCCGACAGCTCGATCAGTCCGCATTTATTTTATACGCATTATTCCGATATTTACACGCAGCCAATCCCGGCACGTCCGCGAACTGGCGGTTTCGGCGGAGGCGGCTGGGAGTCACGTCACAGTGTGACGTGACTCTGGGGTACATCACAGTGTGATGTGACTCTGGGGTACATCACAGTGTGATGTGACTGGGGTACATCACAGTGTGATGTGACTCTGGGGTACATCACAGTGTGATGTGACTCTGGGGTACATCACAGTGTGATGTGACTCTGGGGTACATCACAGTGTGATGTGACTCTGGGGTACATCACAGGGCAATGTACCTCTGGGGTACATCACAGTGTGATGTGACTCTGGGGTACATCACAGGGCAATGTGGCTCTGGGGTACATCACAGTGTGATGTGACTGGGGTACATCACAGTGTGATGTGACTCTGGGGTACATCACAGTGTGATGTGACTCTGGGGTACATCACAGTGTGATGTGACTCTGGGGTACATCACAGTGTGATGTGACTCTGGGTTACATCACAGTGTGACGTGACTATGGGGTACATCACAGTGTGACGTGACTCTGGGGTACATCACAGTGTGACGTGACTCTGGGGTACATCACAGTGTGACGTGACTCTGGGGTACATCACAGAGTGAATCGAGTGTTTCTGAACGCTGAAGGCCAACCGACCGGGGCCCAATATCCACCACAAACCTACCACCCGACTCATATCAATATGCATGGCCTTTCAAGCTAAGCCGTGGATACTGATTTCACGCCGCGGCCTAATCCCTCGTAAATTTGGTCAGACGGCGGCATAAAAGCAATTCGACGCGGCGTGGATATAGCCGTGGACCACATAGCTGCACAGGACGCAGGCTTACTGGGTTCACCTCACCACGTGAGGCCACGGACACAACCGCGCCTTAAATGGTGCCGTGGTCTTTTTCTGTTCTGGTGCCAGTATATGGTCATAACACGAAAGTGGTTCAATCTGCTCAAAGTTTCTTGAGTCCGGACCCCACCGACCCTAGAGGTGGTTACTTCCGCCCATGGGCACATCACTACGTGGGGCAAGCAGAGAGAGAGAGAGAGAGAGAGAGAGAGAGAGAGAGAGAGAGAGAGAGAGAGAGAGAGAGAGAGAGAGAGAGAGAGAGAGAGAGAGAGAGAGAGAGAGAGAGAGAGAGAGAGAGAGAGAGAGAGAGAGAGAGAGAGAGAGAGAGAGAGAGAGAGAGAGAGAGAGAGAGAGAGAGAGAGAGAGAGAGCGTGACACATACATGCGTATATATATATATATATATATATATATATATATATATATATATATATATATATATATATATATATACCTATCTATATATATAGGTCAATTGTATATGTTGTACATGTATATCTACATATACGGCAAACGCAGCGCCTACAAACGTCAGGACCCAAAACGCTATTACCATGTGGGGATGTCTGTGGCAAGCCGTGGAGGAATGTCAAAGGAATCAAAGAGCACATGCGACAAGGGCACAAGTCGAAGTTTTGCTCTACATGTGTCACTCTGGTTGAAGATGCCGAGTTGCGTGGCTGATGATGGTGCGCAGTCAGTGGGACTTCGCTGCACGGATATTGACAATTATTGCCAGCGTCTGTGAAGCTCGTCCAATTTTTTTCTCTCCGCTCACGTAATAAAATTAGAAAAACGCAGACATTTAACCCATTCGGTTGAATGTCGAATACCTCCGACTGTCTATTGCGTGAGGCAGAACTCATTCAACATCCGGGACCTTGACCGTAAACATCGCTGGCTTCCACTAGCGCAAAATACGACCGCGATTACCACCCGACGTTAGCGGCGGTCCATTGGCCGATGTTCATATGTTTGTATGTACGTCAAAGCGTGGATATGCGAGTCGCAGACAGTTACTTAATCTCGCAATAAATTAAATTACTCGCAATAAGTTATTTCTGCCACTCTCACGGTCAAAGCCGTACCAATCATCGACGGTAAACAGTCGACGATCCAAGTATGACACCATCACAGTTGACTACCGTGCAGGATGTACGCCGAGCGCTTCGACCGCCAGCGTCTTGCATTCTGATTATGGTCTAATCCGGGCGGAATTCGGAATCTAATTGAATGGTGGCCGGGTGCAGGGGAACATTGAGGGGACGCTGAGTGGAAATTTGGTTCTCGGAACGTGCGCAGTATGAGACGAGCTTGTGTGTGAAGATGTTGACGCTGCGTCCAACGGCGACAATGGCCCACAACGCTGCAGGGAAGGCAAGGAGGAGGATAGAGAGGAGAGGAGAGGAGAGGAGAGGAGAGGGGAGGAGAGGAGAGGAGAGGAGAGGAGAGGAGAGGAGAGGAGAGGAGAGGAGAGGGGAGGAGAAGAGAGGGGAGAGAGGGGAAGAGAGGATAGGAGAGGAGAGGAGAGGAGAGGAGGAGAGGAGGAGAGAGGGAGGAGAGGAGAGGAGAGGAGAGGAGAGGAGAGGAGAGGAGAGGAGAGGAGAGGAGAGGAGAGGAGAGGAGAGGAGAGGAGAGGAGAGGAGAGGATGGGAGAGGATAGGAGGGGAGAAAAGAGGAGAAGAGAGAAAAGGAGATGACAAGCTTATCTTTATTTTACCCACCGATTTTCACACCTGGATGGGCAATGGCAATTACCCACCCAGCCCCACAGTACGCCCACGTTCCATTCCACGGCATGACGCTTGCGTGACATTGCCGCGTAGCCAGAGGCATGGTCCTGCACCGCATCCCCTGCCCTCCTATACCGCATCTCGTGATCGAAACTGACGGCCAGAATGAGGCCGACCATGCCCATGGCCCAGCCGCCGTCCACTTCTTTGGAGGCCATCCATCTTCCGTTGAAATAAAGCCCAGAATGATGCAGTGGTGGAGGGAAGCTGTTTTGAGCATGCTGAGCCAAAGTCTGGAGTGGTGCTCGAAAGCCTGAAAGCCGCGCGCGGGCAGACAGCCACAGGCGGCACACCCAGCAATTCCTGGGCGCTGGTGTTGAGACTGCGTTGTGCGTGATGCCCCCGTATCAGCTTCTTAACATTAATGTCAATCCGTGGGTTAAATTTCTTTTTAAATTTATGCATTCATGTTCCTTACCATTCATATTAAATGGGTTGCTGGTCACACGTTGACGAAAGCCCTTCGAAAGCCGGCGATACGATTTCTACCCTTCAAAAGCCGACACTATCCAATTATAAATAGCCGGGAGATCCAAGGTCGACACCAATAGTGTACAGGCTAGCCCCGACATTAGTCATTTCGCGAAGTTTAACCAAGAGCGATACAAAATACAAACACGTTTTCCCAGCTCAGATGTGCACGGGGCGGTCAACGGAACTCTAGAGGCTGATTTGATTGAGGCCTGGGTTTCGATGTGACGGAGAACTGGCGAACCACTGACTCGACCTGCCCCTCATCGGTCATCGGGAGGCAGGGCCGTGTCCGTACTATCCTGTAGACAATCCACTCAAATTTGAATGGGCACATTTAGCAGCGTCGAGTTTCGTTGGGTATATGACACTGTTGCTTAACACCAAATTTTGACGGTAAAACTTCGATAAATTGAGCAATGGGTGTTGCCTTATTCACAAGTTTAAAAACAAAAACGTGAATAGATACGTTCACGTCACGAGAGAGCGGCACACACACGAGCAGCGGAAAGAAAGGAATCCCATTCAGCTTCGAAGGAAATACAGAGCAGCTGGGTCGCAAGGTTCCAGTTTACACTTCACTGACCCCTCCAAGTTAGGACAAAGGCGCAGGCAGTCACAGTTCACACCCAACAAGCACCCATCCACCCGCGTGTCATCTCACTAACTTATGCAAGCGAACCCGTTCAGTCCCGCCGGGATAGTCTGGAGACGACAGCCTGGACCGACGCGTGAACCCGTGTTGGACGCGCGCGAGGGTGCGGGTGAGAGCTGGCTCCAAAAACAGAGGATGTTTTGTTCTCTGCTCGACGTTGCAAGGCACGGCTCTTTCAGCCGCGCGACCCGCTTGAAAAAGGCGAGAGTTTTGAGAGGCCCACTCCCGACTTCCACAAATCTGCCTTCACCCTGGGCCAGCGCGCGATGCGGCGGCGTCGGCTCGTATCGGCTGCGACCCTCGTCGATGACGTCAGATGAGCGACGTGTCCGCACCTCTCCTCGGACCAGCTGCGGCTGGACTTTGGGCACACCCCGATCCGCCTCGATCACTCGTGATGCCGAGCAGTCGGCGAGCCCCTCCCTCCCCCCCCCCCCCCCCCACCCATTGGTCGATCCGTTTGTGGCTGTTTTCGGGACCGTTGGCGGCTGCAGTCTGCGTCTGACAGGCCGAGGGCTGCCCCCTCCCCACTCTCTCACCTCCTCCCACCCCGCCCACTCCGACGTCCTGAGTCCCGTCTAGGGGCTCGAAAAACGTGTCTCGAAAACAATGGCGGCGGCTGGCGGACAAGGCGCGGGCGAAAAATAACGCGGCTTTGGAGGCAATTTTTCATTCTGCATCCGACCACGCGGCTTTAAATGCACAGAAAGTCGACAGTAAGGAAACAGCGTAATAGATTGGCCGGCTGGCGGCCTGGAAAGGATTCGCCATCGTGGGGAGCAGCGAAACTGATAAAGCGGCTAACGGCTACGCGAAGAATTCCTGGAACAGCCCGCTGGGTTATTAGGGTGGCGGGTTTCCTGCGCACGGCGGCGGAAACAGTCATTTGGCCTCCAGCGCATCTCCCCATTTCCAGCACAGGGAAGGCCGGATGTTTTTTACCGCCAGTTATCCACGAAGAAGGGGAGAAAGATAAAAAAGGAATGGGAGGTTCTAAGTAGGAATAACACACGTCGGCAAGCAATTACAGATTTTGCTAATGTTGTCCAACATTTAGCCCTCATTTCTTTTCATGCCATGATGTTGCATCCGATGACACATGCATGCTTACTTCACGCAAGCGGTGCTTCAAATAATCCCGTGCGTCTATCGGATTTTCTTTCCCATGTGATTGTATTGTCAATATATGGTGCATGTACACCAATACTTGTGGCCTCGACATTTTGCGGTATTATGGCGGTTTAAATGGTTGCCCACTGTTTCAGGCATCTTACACCAGTTTCTAGACAGGCCATCAGACAGATCCTGAATCTACCTCCCTTGGCCCTGACTGGGACGCTGAGACCCTTTGCATCCCCTGCATCGCCTCTGCCAGTCACAGACCCACCCCTCTGCATCCCCTCCATCCGCCTCTGCCAGTCACAGACCCATCCCTCGGCATCCCCTTCATCCGCCTCTGTCAGTCTCAGACCCTCCCTTCTGCGTATTCTACATCCGCCACTGACAGCCACCGCGGGCTGCTCCTCACGGCTGTGGTCCGTGTCTGCGAGCCGCATCAACAAGGCGATTATGTCGGATTAGGAGCCGCTCACCAGCCCGATTGTGCCCTTCGGCGGGGAGGCGAGGCCCGGCGCGCGGCATGGCAGCACCGGCCGCCGCCGCTCGCACGCCCAGCCGTCGGCGCCCGTGCTGATGACGCCGGCGGGAGGCGAGGCCCGGCGCGCGGCATGCAGCGCCGGCCGTCGCCGCTCGCACGCCACCCGTCGGCGCCTGTGCTGATGACGCCGGCAAGGAGGTGAGGCCCGGCGCGCGGCATGGCAGCGCCGGCCGCCGCCGCTCGTACGCCAACCCGTCGGCTGCCTGTGCTGAGACGGCCGGCAGGGAGGTGAGGCCCGGCGGCGGCATGGCAGTGCGGCCGCCGCAGCCGCCGCGGCCGCCGCGCTCGCACGCCACCCGTCGGCGCCCGTGCTGATGACGCCGGCGGCAGTGGGTGGCGCCACTCCAGCGCTGTGGACGGGGAGCCTCCAGCTCCGGCCGATCTGTGCCGCGGATCGGGGTCTCGGGCTTATTTTGGTCGGTTCACGGGGCGTGAGAGTTGTTTGTGGCAGTTTCTGCCTCGCCAATCCATGTTAAGCACGCCGAAACTAACCCCAATCTGGGGCTCCGGCCACCAAACAACCTCAAAGGCAATGAAAATAGCAAGAGGCCAATGGACCTTTATCCTCAAATACCTCTTCGCGACCCACTACACATTTCAATGAGCTTTTAGCAGCGAACTGCACAATGATGTACGTCAACTATCGTATGGAGGCAAATGCGTCTACATTCGTATTAATTTTTTGTTCGCTAACACATTGAATATGAACCCTCATGACTGTCACTCTGACACGATTTCTCCGAATAGAGTAGCATAGTAGATGTAGATGCTGCTTAAGTAGATGCTGCTTAAGTACATGCTGCGTAACGAAATTTTTCAGTCCCCGCCACTAAAGACGCTTCTCTCATAATTCAATCGCTGCCATTGACACCGCACCAATCGATCCGCGGACGCCCGCTGCCATGTTCCATCTTCTCGTCGTCATGTACCGATGCCTTCGCGCCGGCTGCCGTGCGGCCCAAATGGGTCTCTTTCGGCCGGGGTGAGATAGTTCACAAGGGCGCTCTCGTGGACAGCCGCTGCCATTCGGAGGTCTCCTCCCGGTGATCCGTCCTCCATTTTCAGCCAACTGTCGAGCAGCATCCGCTTGACCCGGCAGATGGCTCGGGATGAGATGTCCACAGGCTCTCAGTCTGAACTGTGGCTCATATGTATTGTGGAATTGGCATGCATAAGCTTCACCTGGCGGTACCCAGCACCACTCAAAATGTAGAATTCGGCGATTCTGCACATAACCTTACGCATTATGTAATTTGCTGTTATAAAATGTTCCTCAATCAAACCTCCAGTTCAATTTGTATTTGTCATTGACTTTTATTTGTGAGCGTTGACTTCTGTCACATGGCAGATACGCATAATTTACAAATACCGCTCATGACACTCTCAGTGGGCTTCCCAGCGTCGAAACGGCCCAGGGATCATCCCCTGCCCAGACTGGTGCTGCATGCTCGCTACTTCCGAACACACCCGCCAACTGCCAGCAGGCACTCGCCCTCACACCCAGCGAAATTTCTCACATGCCTCCTGCCGTGATTACACAAGAGACCTCTGCGCGACAGAAATGCTTCCCGGCTCAGCGCCAGCGTTGCAGACAGAAGAGCGAAGCCATGGGACACGCAGCCCGACAAAAACGCCCGAGTCAGCGGCCCCGGCGCCGACCACCGGCCGTGAGAGCCCGACAAACGCCCGAGTCAGCGGCCGCGGCGCCGGCCACCGGCCGTGAGAGGCCGACAAACGCCCGAGCCAGCGGTCCCCGCGCCGACCACCGGCCGTGAGAGCCCGACAAACGCCCGAGTCAGCGGCCCCGGCGCCAGCCACCGGCCGTGGGTGCCCGCCCTCGGCCGCCTCGCCGGCCACGTTGGCGGTGGGCCTGATGGGCAGATCGGCTTCGACAGCCGCCTGACTGGGAGAGATGCATCGGTAGTCTTCAGGTACAAACTAGTTCATTTCATTAGCTTCCAGGTGCAGGAAGCAGGCTTTCCAGCACGGACCACCACTTCTCATGCCACGTGCCGTATTGGACCTTCACGTGCAAGGAACCAGCACCACAGCGTTTGCCGAGCCGTCCATCATTGCCGCAGCTGCATCTACCACATCCGGGCGACCCCGCCGTCCTTGACCAACTCGCTGAGCGGCATGATCAACAGAAGAGCATTTACGCAAAAATGGCCAGCCCTGGAAGGTCCGATTTCGGTGGAGCAGCTCACGCAAGCAAGGTTACCGGACCCGGGACGCTCGAGCTCGATGGCGGCTGACCGGCTCCAGGAAGACTCACCAGCACCGGGGACCCCCAGCCGCGGCTGTAGACGGCTCGAGCCGGACGGACAGGCGCCCGCCCGACGCTGGTAAGCCCGCGCCGGTGCAACACTTACCAGCTCGAGGAAGTAGTAGCCGAAGGCGGACCCGAGCAGACCGATGAAGGCGGTCAGGCCGATCAGTGTGCCTCGCACGGGCGTGGGGAACAGCTCGATGATGAGCAGGCGGATCGAGATCAGGCACGACACCACGCAGTACTTGGCCATCAGCTTGATGGCCAAGTACACCGGGTACATGTCCACGCCGTCAGCTGTGGGAGGAGGAGCGCAGTCAGGTACGCCGCCAGTCTGCGGCCCATGCGCGGCTTGTTAGCCTGCGTCAGCCTGTGACCTACAGACTGAGGGGACGGTTACGCACACTGTGTCAGCCTATGCTCTACAGACGGGGGGACGGTTGCGCACACTGTGTCAGTCTGTGCTCTACAGACGGAGGGGGTGGTTACGCACACTGTGTGTCAGCCTGCGCTCCACAGACGGAGGGGGTGGTTACGCACACTGTGTGTCAGCCTGTGGTCCACAGACGGGGGGACGGTTGCGCACACTGTGTGTCAGCCTGTGCTCTACAGATGGAGGGGGTGGTTACGCACACTGTATGTCAACCTGCGCTCTACAGACGTGGGAGGGTGGTTACATCCGCAGTCAGCCTGTGACGGAGGAGGGCAATGACATACACTGTGTACCGGAACCCCCCTCTCCCCCCGTCAACTAATTCAGCTTGTGGGCGGAAGACAGTAGTCGCATACGATGGGAACTATCAGCCCACAGCTGACAGAGCGATTAAAACAGGTTGTCAAACATGCATAAAGCCCTCGGCGAGACGGTGTTGTGGACGGAGGAATGCGGTTTGATGCACTCGGCGTTAGTGCACAGCCAATTGTGAACAGAGGAGCTGGGCTGGATACCACAGGTGCACCGTATGCACTGAAATCGGCAGAGACAGAGCACGTGACTGCAGAGACACCAGGTGCATGTGAATGTCGACGGATAGAGGCAGAGGATTCGGAGAAATGCAGCGGTTGTCTGCCCATTGCATAAGCTCGCCGAGCAACCGCAGAGTAAGACGCACCGCAAACTTTTCTAGCATGCTACCCAAGAGAGACTTGTTAGGGCCCGGCGTAGATGACGCGGGTACACAACGGCCTTATGCACATCCAGCCACGTCCGAGCGGAGACAGCTGGAGAAGAAGGAAAATCGGCATGGACCACAATATTGGGAGGTCTCCCTGTTATATGCAAGGCGAAGGAGCTGCTGCAAAACAGTTATCGTCGCCTTCGAGTACGTCGTCGCCCACAAACCTGCCTCCACACCCGCCTTACTTTGTTACATAATGCTACCAGTTATTAAAACGACCCGTTTGTTGGACCCAAATAGGTTTATCAAAACGTCCCGTTACAATAAACCGTTTTGTACGCGGCCGACTTTTGGCAGCCTAAGATGCCGCGAATTCCATGCGGGATGGAGCTTCCTATACGTCAGTTGACACCCGCATAAGGTAGAAGATAGATACATTTAAAAACATTTTTCGCGTTCACGAGTTACCGGGCGGCCTCCACTGCCGTGAGCTGACCACGGCGGCGGCCCTGCGCACGACGCCCACGCCAGACGCCGCACGTCAGCCGCCGCACGCGTGCACGCGGTGACGCACGGGCACAGCCGTGCACGCGGATTAGGAGGCCCGGGACTGCGGAGATGGCACTTCCTGGAGCTCGGCGGCTCGGCCGGGCCAAGGGCTTAATAATATGTCGGGACAATGGACCGGCTGGAGCTGGCCGGCTTCTCGGTGGGGTCGAGGCCGCGAAATCCGAGGTCTCACGGTAGGTGCCGTGACCGCGGTGAAAGCCATTGGACTAGCCGGCGTGGTGACTGATTGAAGCCACTCTGGGGGGGGGGGGGGGGGGGGGGCAACAAAGGACTTTCAGCCGTCAGCGCTTGGTGCGAGCCCGAAAGAAATGTGAACGAAGATATTTTGCAAACGTTGTGAAATACTGCAGGAGATTTCAACAAATCAGCGTCGTAAAGCCCACTATAGATGATTCTAGCAAAGCAGCGTTGTGAAGCCTGATGTAGACAATTTCAACAAACGAATTGCGTAGCTTTCCCACGGCAGTTTGAGGTCATAAATTACAGCATCCAGCCCATCAATTCATGTTCCAAGTTTAACACGCGCTCGGGCGGGGGTCAAATTAACCCCCTCCCCGAAGGTTTTTTCAGAATGGTTTCCGAAAGGCGCGGCGCAGCCACGTCAAATTTTGCGCAGCTGTAGACAGTTGAATAGCGAATGGTTTGGCATCAAAATTTTAGATGCACCTTGTAAAGCCGCTGACCTATGGCAGGTCAAAGTTAGGCCATGGTTTCAGCGAAGTAAATTTCTAGGGAATCGTTCAATCTGTTGCAACAACGGAGTGCTAGACTAAGTCATACATCTCCGAGATGCTTTCTTAGGCAACACAAATATTGAATGAGCAAATTACGTTGACCTACAAGGTATACAGGTCAGACCAAGGCCGAAACCAACCTGCTTTATTACTCTGGGGCTTGCTGTATGGCGTAGTTTCTGGTGCTCATTTCGAATTTATTGATAGCAGGAACCGCAATATACATCTTCCATGGACTTCTTAGAGATCAGAATAGGTCATTGACCTGAATGATCCAGGTCAGCATTTTTTTACAAACATAATGTCTGGCGCAGTCTTTGTCGCTTATTCAAATGCAAAACCCAGCGCAGTCTTGCATGATCTTGGTCACCATGGCCTTCAAAAGGTCAAACAAGGTCACTGACCTCAGCTGATTATGTGACCTTTGCTTAGAAACAGCTATCTAGGTTCTGGGGGCACTTTGGAGACCAACCTGGAATTCGACCTTGTTTGACCTATTTGACCCGAAGGTCATAGCCTAGGAACCTTTAACCTTGACCTAAGTAAGTTAACGTGCAGGCCAATACACCCTGTAAATTTGATGTTTCTAGCTTTCTTAGTTCCTGAGATCTCAGGGGGTCAAATTGACCCCCACCTGAGCGAAGGGTATGTAGCCGGCCACCCGGGCGCGTATTAAGAAAAAAAGAAACAGCGTAAAACGTGTTTGCATCCGGCCGTGAGAATATGTCTTCGCGTGTAACAGCATGCCAGTTTGATGGACCGCAATCATGGTCAGCATGTTCCTGCCCACATAAGACAATTTCCATGCAACATAATTGTAAAAATATACCTTGCTCGCACAACATCTGAATTCTGTATTGTACACAAACATACGGCACAGCTGCGTAGACGAATCAAAAGGATCAATCCGATGTCAACATACTCAAACAGCCCACTCCCGAGAACCCGGAACAGGGCTTTCCTTGACACTCAAAATATCTCTCCACTCGCAAGAGGCTTCTGCATCTGCAACAGTCACACCAGCACGGCACGCCGGCGTATGGCGAACAGCGGTATGGCGTATGCAGGTATGGTCCAGATGAGGGTGGTTCCCTGTGCTGCACCAGCTGATAATGACGCGTCCCACTGGTTCCCTGTGCTGCACCAGCTGATTATGACGCGTCCATTGGTTCCCTGTGCTGCACCAGCTGATAATGACGCGTCCCATTGGTTCCCTGTGCTGCACCAGCTGATAATGACGCGTCCCAATGGCTCCATGTCCTGCACCAGCTGATAATGACGCGTCCCCACTGGCTCCGGCAGCCGGATCTCTCATTTCGCACCTACCGAGGGCCAAGGACCTTTCACAGCTTTGGTCATGTACATTTTTGGCGTCATTCCAGGCACGGCTTTGGTTGGATGGATTCTGCCGGCTTGGCAAAAATTCACTGATTCGTGACCGACGATCCTCCTGAACATTCGCGGAAGTCCTGAGTCATCACCAGTCAGAGCAGCGATGACGTTATACCACCCACGACAGGTGTGCCTTACGAGTAAGTGGTTGGTAGTGACAGTGAATAGCGCAAGTGGTAGGGGCGAAGTGAGATGCCTGCATGAGTGGGTGGCCTGATAGCGTTACGAGTAGACCACTGGTCACGTTTTAGCGGTGAGCGGGAGGCTCTATAGGTGTCAATAACGCCATCAGGTGGGTTCGAATCTCACTGGGGCCGCTCGTGTTTCCGACAGTGGGAAGCTTTCGCTACCGGAAGTAATGTCGTAACCTTTACCATAAGTCAAGACCGGCACCGCTTCAAAATCCAACGACTGTGGTAAAAGGACTTCGTAGTTACGTAAAATGCTTCCACGGCACGGGAGGGTCGTCCGAACAACAAGCTCTACGTAGCACATATAATGTTTCCAGCGATATTCGTGCATACGACCTATAATTATTACTTGCAACGAAAAACGCTGTATCGCTCAACCATTTCGTAAAGGAAAGAACCTTTAGAAAAATCGAGATGACTGAAAACAAAAATACAAAAGGATGGACAAAATGTATATCATTTCCACATTTCCGTCTCACCGTTTTACTTGCAGGCAATCGTCTGCAGGCAACGCCGCTATCTGCCGGCGACTATCTGCTGCTGGCTAGCCGCTGCAGCTGGCGACTATCTGCTGTTGACTATCCACTACAGCTGGCGACTGTCTGCTGCTGGCTATCCGCCACAGTTGGCGACGACAGTGCTCTTAGATGCTACACGCGTTGATAAATCGCCACTACTTATCATTGCTTCCTTGCAGATTAGGTCATTATAACCTACGACCATTAGCATGACATGAAATACGGCCGCCGACTTCAGCGTTCCCGCGAGACTTGCTAGCAGATGGAGAAACGACTCCGATAGCCGTGTGCCCGCGAACACCAGCCATCGGCAGATAATGCACTCATTCCTTAGCATGCGCAACTTACACCACAATATGTAAACAAAAGGAGACTGTCTAAGTTCATTTACCCCACTTCATTTGAGCTTGGAAATGACGAGTGATTTTAAACTGAATGAGAAAATGCTATGCCCGACGACACATCGTGATAATAACGGCTGCCGAGCCGACTGAACTTATTGGCCCAATTTGGACATGAACTAGTCCACCGGCCCGATAGGCGCGCCCGCAGTACACGGCCGCGTGCGGGACAGCATATACGCTGTGAGATGCTCTGAGATATTCAATGGCGAAGTCAGCACTGGTGTGTGCGCGGCAGTGAGGAGGGGGCTAAAACACAAAATATTCATCCTCTGATTGATGCATGAGCTTGACAGTACGCTGAAGAAAAATGAAAGTGGGGAAAATGATGAAGAATGCTTCGGGAAATTTGGTCAGTGCTCACCAGCTGCTT